CTGCTCGTGCTCTGCTCTGCTCTGCTCTGCTCTGCTCTGCTCTGCTCTGCTCTGCTCTGCTCTGCTCTGCTCTGCTCTGCTCTGCTCTGCTCTGCCCTGCCCTGCTCGTGCTCTGCTCTGCTCTGCTCTGCCCTGCTCGTGCTCTTCTCTGCTCTGCTCTGCTCTGCTCTGCACTGCTCTGCTCTGCTCTGCTCTGCTCTGCTCTGCTCTGCTCTGCTCTGCTCTGCTCTGCTCTGCTCGTGCTCTGCTCTGCTCTGCTCTGCTCGTTCTCTGCTCTGCTCTGCCCTGCTCGTGCTCTGCTCTGCTCTGCTCTGCTCTGCTCTGCTCTGCTCTGCTCTGCTCTGCTCTGCTCTGCTCTGCTCTGCTCTGCTCTGCTCTGCTCGTGCTCTGCTCTGCTCTGCTCTGCTCTGCTCCTGCTCCTGCTCTGCTTTGCTCTGCCCTGCCCTGCTCTGCTCTGCTCTGGTCTGCTCTGCCCTGCCCTGCTCGTGCTCTGCTCTGCTCTGCTCTGCTCTGCTCTGCTCTGCCCTGCTCTGCTCTGCTCTGCTCTGCTCTGCTCTGCTCTGCTCTGCTCTGCTCTGCTCTGCTCTGCTCTGCTCTGCTCGTGCTCTGCTCTGCTCTGCTCTGCTCCTGCTCTGCTCTGCTTTGCTCTGCTCTGCCCTGCTCGTGCTCTGCTCTGCTCTGCTCTGCCCTGCTCGTGCTCTGCTCTGCTCTGCTCTGCTCTGCTCTGCTCTGCTCTGCTCTGCTCTGCTCTGCTCTGCTCTGCTCTGCTCTGCTCTGCTCTGCTCTGCTCTGCTCTGCTCTGCTCTGCTCTGCTCTGCTCTGCTCTGCTCTTCTCTGCTCTGCTCTGCTCTGCTCTGCTCTGCTCTGCTCTGCTCGTGCTCTGCTCTGCTCGTGCTCTGCTCTGCTCTGCCCTGCTCGTGCTCTGCTCTGCTCTGCTCTGCCCTGCTCGTGCTCTGCTCTGCTCTGCTCTGCTCTGCTCTGCTCTGCTCTGCTCTGCTCTGCTCTGCTCTGCTCTGCTCTGCTCTGCTCTGCCCTGCTCTGCTCTTTCTGCTCTGCTCTGCTCTGCTCTGCTCTGCTCTGCTCTGCTCTGCTCTGCTCTGCTCTGCTCTGCTCTGCTCGTGCTCTGCTCTGCTCTGCTCTGCTCGTGCTCTGCTCTGCTCTGCCCTGCTCGTGCTCTGCTCTGCTCTGCTCTGCCCTGCTCGTGCTCTGCTCTGCTCTGCTCTGCTCTGCTCTGCTCTGCTCTGCTCTGCTCTGCTCTGCTCTGCTCTGCTCTGCTCTGCTCTGCTCTGCTCTGCTCTGCTCTGCTCTGCTCTGCTCTGCTCTGCTCTGCTCTGCTCTGCTCTGCTCTGCTCTGCTCTGCTCTGCTCTGCTCTGCTCTGCTCTGCTCTGCTCTGCTCTGCTCTGCTCTGCTCTGCTCTGCTCTGCTCTGCTCTGCTCTGCTCTGCTCTGCTCTGCTCTGCTCTGCTCTGCTCTGCTCTGCTCTGCTCTGCTCTGCTCTGCTCGTGCTCTGCTCTGCTCTGCTCTGCTCGTGCTCTGCTCTGCTCTGCCCTGCTCGTGCTCTGCTCTGCTCTGCTCTGCTCTGCTCGTGCTCTGCTCTGCTCTGCTCTGCTCTGCTCTGCTCTGCTCTGCTCTGCTCTGCTCTGCTCTGCTCTGCTCTGCTCTGCTCTGCTCTGCTCTGCTCTGCTCTGCTCTGCTCTGCTCTGCTCTGCTCTGCTCTGCTCTGCTCTGCTCTGCTCTGCTCTGCTCTGCTCTGCTCTGCTCTGCTCTGCTCTGCTCTGCTCTGCTCGTGCTCTGCTCTGCTCTGCTCTGCTCTGCTCTGCTCTGCTCTGCTCTGCTCTGCTCTGCTCTGCTCTGCTCTGCCTGCTCTGCTCTGCTCTGCTCTGCTCTGCTCTGCTCTGCTCTGCTCTGCTCTGCTCTGCTCTGCTCTGCTCTGCTCTGCTCTGCTCTGCTCTGCTCTGCTCTGCTCTGCTCTGCTCTGCTCTGCTCTGCTCTGCTCTGCTCTGCTCTGCTCTGCTCTGCTCCTGCTCTGCTCTGCTCTGCTCTGCTCTGCTCTGCTCTGCTCTGCTCTGCTCTGCTCTGCTCTGCTCTGCTCTGCTCTGCTCTGCTCTGCTCTGCTCTGCTCTGCTCTGCTCTGCTCTGCTCTGCTCTGCTCTGCTCTGCTCTGCTCTGCTCTGCTCTGCTCTGCTCTGCTCTGCTCTGCTCTGCTCTGCTCTGCTCTGCTCTGCTCTGCTCTGCTCTGCTCTGCTCTGCTCTGCTCTGCTCTGCTCTGCTCTGCTCTGCTCTGCTCTGCTCTGCTCTGCTCTGCTCTGCTCTGCTCTGCTCTGCTCTGCTCTGCTCTGCTCTGCTCTGCTCTGCTCTGCTCTGCTCTGCTCTGCTCATGCTCTGCTCTGCTCTGCTCTGCTCTGCTCTGCTCTGCTCTGCTCTGCTCTGCTCTGCTCTGCTCTGCTCTGCTCTGCTCTGCTCTGCTCTGCTCTGCTCTGCTCTGCTCTGCTCTGCTCTGCTCTGCTCTGCTCTGCTCTGCTCTGCTCTGCTCTGCTCTGCTCTGCTCTGCTCTGCTCTGCTCTGCTCTGCTCGTGCTCTGCTCTGCTCTGCTCTGCTCTGCTTTGCTCCTTTCTGCTCTGCTCTGCTTTGCTCTTTCTGCTCTGCTCTGCTCTGCTCTGCTCTGCTCTGCTCTGCTCGTGCTCTGCTCTGCTCTGCTCTGCTCTGCTCTGCTCTGCTCTGCTCGTGCTCTGCTTGTGCTCTGCTCTGCTCTGCTCTGCTCTGCTCGTGCTCTGCTCTGCTCTGCTCTGCTCTGCTCTGCTTTGCTCCTTTCTGCTCTGCTCTGCTTTGCTCCTTTCTGCTCTGCTCTGCTCCTTTCTGCTCTGCTCTGCTGTGGTGTGCTGTGCCATAATTCCAATAAACTCGTCTCAAAAGGCATGGTGTACCTTTGTTGTACCAGCAAACCGTCCACCACTCCCCTCCTCTCAACTATCTCCCTTCCTCTCCCCTCCCCTCTCCACTCCTCTCTTCCCCTCGCCTCCCCTCCCCTCCCCTCCCCTCCCCTCCCCTCCTCTCTCCTCCCCTCCCCTCCCCTCCTCTCCCCTCCCCTCCCCTCCCCTCCCCTCCCCTCCCCTCCTCTCTCCTCCCCTCCTCTCTCCTCCCCTCCTCTCCCCTCCCCTCCCCTCCCCTCCCCTCCTCTCTCCTCCCCTCCTCTCCCCTCCCCTCCCCTCCCCTCCCCTTCCCTCCCCTCCCCTCCCTCCGTTCGCTCCTCGCCTACCACAGCTCGTTCCAGCCCATCAGCAACACGGTGGGGCCTAGGTGCGGCAAGGGGGGGGCGTGCGTGGTGAATCAGACTGCAGAGTCCGCCTTCTGCAACTCCTGCCTGGACTTCTGCATCTCCTGCTCGCCGCCGGGCCTCTGTGCTGGCTGCAAAGGTGCGTGTCAAGCCGCAGGTCAGTGAGTAGGGATTAGCTGGGATGGCATATTTTGACTTACACCTTGATGACTAGGAGATTCCAGTCCTTTTTTTTCCGTAATGGCAATTTGTTTGACATCTCTCCTCTTTCAGTGTCTCCACCCCAGCCACCGCCGCCACCAGCAAGCAGTGGCAACAGCAGCAGTAGCAGCAGCGGCGGCGGCGGCAGCAGCAGCAGCAGCAGCGACAGCGGCGGCGGCTTATCGATGGGGGCAACCATCGGCATCGTGTGTGGGGTGGCGGTGGTGCTGCTCGCCCTGCTGCTCGCCGTCCTCTTCTTCCTCTACCGGAGGAACAAGGTCTCTCGCTTCGGTGAGCCCTCTCATCTCACTGGTCTCTTGCAAAAGAGCATTCGGCTTCTCTCACATTGGTAATCATTGTCACTTGCTTGCATTGTCACTTGCTCGCATTGTCACTTGCTCGCATTATCACTTGCTTGCATTGTCACTTGCTCGCATTGTCACTTGCTCGCATTGTCACTTGCTCGCATTGTCACTTGCTCGCATTGTCACTTGCTCGCATTGTCACTTGCTCGCATTGTCACTTGCTCGCATTGTCACTTGCTCGCATTGTCACTTGCTTGCATTGTCACTTGCTCGCATTGTCACTTGCTCGCATTGTCACTTGCTCGCATTGTCACTTGCTCGCATTGTCACTTGCTTGCATTGTCACTTGCTCGCATTGTCACTTGCTCGCATTGTCACTTGCTCGCATTGTCACTTGCTCGCATTGTCACTTGCTCGCATTGTCACTTGCTCGCATTGTCACTTGCTCGCATTGTCACTTGCTCGCATTGTCACTTGCTTGCATTGTCACTTGCTCGCATTGTCACTTGCTCGCATTGTCACTTGCTCGCATTGTCACTTGCTTGCATTGTCACTTGCTCGCATTGTCACTTGCTCGCATTGTCACTTGCTCGCATTGTCACTTGCTCGCATTGTCACTTGCTTGCATTGTCACTTGCTCGCATTGTCACTTGCTCGCATTGTCACTTGCTCGCATTGTCACTTGCTCGCATTGTCACTTGCTCGCATTGTCACTTGCTCGCATTGTCACTTGCTCGCATTGTCACTTGCTCGCATTGTCACTTGCTCGCATTGTCACTTGCTCGCATTGTCACTTGCTCGCATTGTCACTTGCTTGCATTGTCACTTGCTCGCATTGTCACTTGCTCGCATTGTCACTTGCTCGCATTGTCACTTGCTCGCATTGTCACTTGCTTGCATTGTCACTTGCTCGCATTGTCACTTGCTCGCATTGTCACTTGCTCGCATTGTCACTTGCTCGCATTGTCACTTGCTTGCATTGTCACTTGCTCGCATTGTCACTTGCTCGCATTGTCACTTGCTCGCATTGTCACTTGCTCGCATTGTCACTTGCTCGCATTGTCACTTGCTCGCATTGTCACTTGTTCGCATTGTCACTTGCTTGCATTGTCACTTGCTCGCATTGTCACTTGCTCGCATTGTCACTTGCTCGCATTGTCACTTGCTCGCATTGTCACTTGCTCGCATTGTCACTTGCTCGCATTGTCACTTGCTTGCATTGTCACTTGCTCGCATTGTCACTTGCTCGCATTGTCACTTGCTCGCATTGTCACTTGCTCGCATTGTCACTTGCTTGCATTGTCACTTGCTCGCATTGTCACTTGCTCGCATTGTCACTTGCTCGCATTGTCACTTGCTTGCATTGTCACTTGCTCGCATTGTCACTTGCTCGCATTGTCACTTGCTCGAATTGTCACTTGCTCGCATTGTCACTTGCTCGCATTGTCACTTGCTCGCATTGTCACTTGCTCGCATTGTCACTTGCTCGCATTGTCACTTGCTCGCATTGTCACTTGCTCGCATTGTCACTTGCTCGCATTGTCACTTGCTCGCATTGTCACTTGCTCGCATTGTCACTTGCTCGCATTGTCACTTGCTCGCATTGTCACTTGCTTGCATTGTCACTTGCTCGCATTGTCACTTGCTCGCATTGTCACTTGCTCGCATTGTCACTTGCTCGCATTGTCACTTGCTTGCATTGTCACTTGCTCGCATTGTCACTTGCTCGCATTGTCACTTGCTCGCATTGTCACTTGCTCGCATTGTCACTTGCTTGCATTGTCACTTGCTCGCATTGTCACTTGCTCGCATTGTCACTTGCTTGCATTGTCACTTGCTCGCATTGTCACTTGCTCGCATTGTCACTTGCTCGCATTGTCTCTTGCTCGCATTGTCACTTGCTTGCATTGTCACTTGCTCGCATTGTCACTTGCTCGCATTGTCACTTGCTCGCATTGTCACTTGCTTGCATTGTCACTTGCTCGCATTGTCACTTGCTCGCATTGTCACTTGCTCGCATTGTCACTTGCTCGCAGTGTCACTTGCTTGCATTGTCACTTGCTCGCATTGTCACTTGCTCGCATTGTCACTTGCTCGCATTGTCACTTGCTCGCATTGTCACTTGCTTGCATTGTCACTTGCTCGCATTGTCACTTGCTCGCATTGTCACTTGCTCGCATTGTCACTTGCTTGCATTGTCACTTGCTCGCATTGTCACTTGCTCTCATTGTCACTTGCTCGCATTGTCACTTGCTCGCATTTTCACTTGCTTGCATTGTCACTTGCTCGCATTGTCACTTGCTCGCATTGTCACTTGCTCGCATTGTCACTTGCTCGCATTGTCACTTGCTCGCATTGTCACTTGCTCGCATTGTCTCTTGCTCGCATTGTCACTTGCTTGCATCATCATTCCCACTGGCGCTATATCATCACCCCCAAAACCACCACCACCGCTACCATTCGACGACCATACAGGTGCTCTGGCGGCGGGCGTGTGTGTGGAGTTCACAATGAAAGAGATGCAGCAGGCCACCAACAACTGGGCGGACGCCAACCTGCTGGGGTCGGGTGGCTTTGGAGACGTGTTCAAGGGCGTGTCGCCTCAAGATGGCGCCACGCTGTGGGCTGTGAAGCGCTCCAAAGTGATCACCAACGACTTCCAGCGCGAGGTGCGTGTGTGAGAGTGCTGTCGTGTCTTGCAATGGAAAAAAGTTTTTTTAATGCAAGAGAACATGAGAGCTATGGCACACACACATGTCACATCAGGACTCCCATCACCCCCTCACAAGCCCCTGTGTACCCTCTCCCGTGTGCACGGCGCAGGTGCACGAGATGGCAACAAAGCACCACCCCAACCTGGTGCGCCTACTGGGCTACGCCACGTGTGGGGACCTGCGGGAGCGCATCGAGCAGATCCTCGTCTACGAGTTCATCTCCAACGGGGACCTCGATAAATGGCTCAGCGCAGGTGGGTGGTGTGGTGTACGGTTGTTTGGTACTGTGCAGTGGTCCCTGCTGCGGTGACCAAGGCGTTTCTCGCCTCATCCCCGCATCCCCGAATCCCTGAATCCCTGCATCCACTGCCTGTGTGCATGGTGGCTGTGCAGACGCTCCCTCGCCCCTCACGTTGAGGCAGCGGCTGGACATTATCGTGGGAGCAGCGCGTGGGTTTGAGTACCTCCACAGCTTTGGCATCGTGCATCGTGACATCAAGCCCGCTAACATCCTGCTGGATAGCAACATGCAGGTGAGTGCATGCTAGTGGTAAGCGCAGCAGCACAAGGAAACAGCTACGGTATTTAAGAAGCAGCAGCACTGTCTGCTGTCCGATCAAAATAACCCTCTCCCTTTCTCCTCCTAACTAGTTTCACCTTCCCTTTGTCCATCCACCCATCCACCCACCCACCCGCCCGTGCACGCCCCTTATCACCGCTCCTAACAGCCCAAGGTGGCTGACTTTGGTCTCGTGCGAGTGGAGGAGGGTACCAGCGCACAAGCCACGCGGGTGATGGGCACACCGGGCTATGTGGACCCTGCTTACGCTCGCACACGCAAGGCCACTCCAGCCACTGATGTCTACAGGTGGGCTTGCATATAGGTGCTCACGTGTTGGTGTGTATATGTGCTGGTGTGCTCATGTGTACATGCGCACATAATCATGCTTCTTCCGAGTGTCTCCCGATGCCAGAGGCTCAAGTGCTGGAGATGATTGCTGAATTAGTATGCTCATTGGCTTTGCTGACCTCTTGCTCTTTTGCATGCTTGCCTCTTGCATGTATGTGCATTCGTATGTTGCTCTGTATGCATATGCTTGTGCGTGTGCATGCATGTGTGCGTGTACGTGTGCCTGTGCATATGTGCTTGCGTGTGGATGTGCACGCCTTCTTGTGTGTGTGTGTGTGTGTCTAATCGTCCCCGTGTGCACTTGTGTGCGTGCGTGCATGTGAGCACATGTGCATGGGTGCTGCAGTTTTGGTATTCTCATGTTGGTGGTGCTCACGGGCAAGCCTGCCACATATGAGGACGACAAGAACCACTCCAGGGGCATCCTCAAATGGGTGTGCACACCTTCCTCCTTCCACCTTCCTCCTTCCACTTTCTCCTTTTCTCCACCTTCTCCCTCTCTCCCCCTTCTCATTTTCCCTCAGCATAATCTGTGCCTCAGTCCTGCACCCTCGCTGTCCCTATCCCACCTCCACCTACCCCTCCACCTCCCCAACCTCCCCTTCTTCGCCCACTCCCAGCATCCGCTGCCAATAACCTTTTTCTGCCCAGCATCCACTTTCCTTCCACCACTTTCCACCTCGTCTCACTCTCCCCACAACACCCGCAGGTCCAGGAGAAGGTGGGCCAGGGTTCATTAGAGGAGATTGCAGACCCTCGCATGGGCACCGTCCCACCAGACGCCCTGCAGCGCATCGCAGACCTGGCCATGCGCTGCACTGCCACCTTCACTGCTGACCGCCCCTCCATGGGCCGCATCGCCCAGGAGATGGATGCGCTGCGTGGTGAGGTGGGCGGTGGCGAGGAGCAGGTGCACAAGGCGTACGAGGTGGTGGATGCTGAGTTGAGGGCGAGGATGCAGCAGCAGCAAAAGATGAGTGAGCAGAGTATGGACTCTTTTCTTGATTCGATTCACTCGGGGAAGATCGGGAGCATGATGGACACGGGGGAGGTGATCACGGGTGATGCCTCCTTGAATGTGTGAACGTGAGTGAAGGGTGAGGTGCGGAACTAAGCAGAAGGAAGTAATGAGAGGACTATTTTTATTGGAGATGTTTGAATTGGGATGAAATGACGCGCTAATACTGTGCATTGCATCGATAGATAACTAGTCAAGTCCACGTTCTGGGTTTTGCTTTGTCTGTTCAGGCTCTTATAAATTGCCCTGAGTTTGAATGGTGACATTAGTGTTATATACTTGTAGCCTGTTTATAAATATAATGTAAGTAGATTACATGGAAATACTTTATCATCTAAATAATACATGTAAAGCTTCACTGTAATCGAAAACCTGGATCAAGGTGTTCGCATCCGCGTTTTGCAACTGCCCGATTAGTCTCGTCCCTGCCGACAATTTCAGAATCTCCAATACGTGTTCCTGACAATGGTCAAAACGAAGTGTCAAGGTTCGCGTCACAAGGGACTCCACGCTGGGTCCGTAGGTGAGCTGTACAAACATGGAAGGAATATTCCAAGCGTCAAAACGTCCGAGTTTGAAAACATCTCCGCTTCTCCTCCCAGCCCAATCTCATATTCTCCCACCCGGTACTGAAAACCTCTCCAGCTTGTTTAGCTGACACCCAGAACGGTTCTTACCACCTATTTAGAGGGTCGACCACGTACCAAATATTATTCTTCGCAAACATTGCAGCTTTTCACATTGTCATTCGCGAAACGCACGACCGGTTACAGCTAGCTTCGTTGTCGGTGACGAAACGAGAGCCAATTAGCGGGACGAGGCTCTGGTAGCCGTTGCAGGTGTCAGCGGGTGTGAGAGGGAGACTCCAATTTCAATCTGCTCCCATCACATCTTCCTCCCGCTTTTCCTCCCTTTCCATGGCTGCCGCCACCTATGTTGCCTGAGACCTATTCGTTGGCCAATTAATCACCCGTTTTTGCCTCCATCCCGCCGAGCCGACAGCGCTGCGTGTCCATGTTGTAACTCTTCAACCCACCGACACGAATCCACCTATCCTGGAGCTTTTGACCTCCGATTTCGCGGTTGGGGTTCGATTATCCCTGACACGAGAATTCTCGACCAGTCCATCGAATTTCCGTTTAACCGTTGCGTTTTTTCGCGGTTCAACGTCGTTTCGATGAACGGTTGGGATTTTTTGCACGCTCTCTCGCGGTAGAATGTCGGTCGGTAGCCTTGGGGTTGGGTTGTGGCGAGGAACCACGCTTTCGTGCAGCAGACTCGTTTTGCCTCATTCTAGTCCGCCTGCTTCGCGTTTTGCTGCCGTTTTCTCACTCTAGAATCTCCGCTCACGACGTTCCTTGCCAAAGCGACGTCGTACTCTTGTCGATCCAGAGCGTTCTGTGGAGTTCATACGGCATTCATGGACCAGATTTTGCTCGTGCAAGCCAGTCTTCGCTATTCGCCGTTAGCCTTCACCGCTCATCGTCATTCTTTGGGATTTTACGTGGAAATGTCGATTTTCGACGTCCGTTTTTCGCGATTCACGTGAAATTTCGGTTTCGACGTCGATTTTCGCTGGACGTCGCCAACCTCTCCTGTTCCGCGTCGAGCTTAGCGATTCCGGTAAAAATAGCTCTGGATCGGATACCTCACGACTCTCGGGAAAGCAGCTAAAATTCGTTGACTCGCGATTCTCGGAAAAGCAGCTAATTGTGTGTCTCTCGCGACTTGCGGGAGAACGCACAACCATTTCGAGTCGTCCGGCATTCCAATCCGCCATTTCTCGCGCTTCCACGTCAACCGTCGCGACTTCGCCATCCGTTATACTTCGCGACTTCGCCATCCGTTACACTTCGCGACTTCGCCATCCGTTACACTTCGCGACTTCGCCATCCGTTACACGACTTCGCCATCCGTTACACTTCGCGACTCCGCCATCAGTTACACTTCGCGACTTCGCCATCCGTTACACTCGTCACCTAGTACGGAAGCTTTGGAGCTCGCTTTCTCTTCCGTGAAAGCTTTGTGTTTTCTACCCGCAATTTTCGTTTTCCCAGCAATTCTAACTCCCTGTGTCGCGTGACTTGGCAGACGCACCATCCTGAGCGGCAATGAGTGGAGATGGAGCAGGCCAAGGCGGGAACCATTGTCAACCGAGAGCAAGCGGGCATCATCAGGCTCTGTTGGATGGCCGCCCTCCACTCCACCCATCACCACGCCAGGTACTCCCCTCGCTTCCCTCCTGCTCTCGCTTGCACCACGTTTTCTGCCCTCGTTTTCCACTGCTCTCCATGTCCTTGTGCTTTCCTCGCCATGCTGCTTTCCTCGCCATGCTGCTTTCCTCGCCCTCCTGCCCTCCTTCCTTCCATGTGCTGCTTGTCCCCTCTCGACCTAGCTGCCCCTCTGCGTCAATCTCCCTGCCTGCGCCGCCTCAATCTCCCACCAGATGCACGGATATGAGGGCGGATGGGCGGAAGGGCAAGCGGAGAGGCGAGGGAGGCAAGCAGCTGAGTGTCGTCCGCTCGCCTCGCCTCTACACGCAGCAGCAGCAGCCGTGCCTCCTCTCCACTCCACTCGCCTCTCACCCTCGCCACAGCTAAGTGCCCCACACTGCTCCTCTGCTCCTTGCTGCGCGCTGCCTTCCATGTAATGCTTGCACGCTCTTCCATGCTCGCTCCCTTGCTGCCGTGCGCCATCCCAGAGACCTCCCTCCCCCAAGGTACCAGGTATCTTTTCTTTTGGTACAGCCTCAGGTATTCATTTGACTTTGGTTCAGCCGGTACGAGGTCTCTCGGGTGTGCCACTGCAGCTGTCCACTCATGCACGCATCATTCTTGCAAGTTCAGCACTCGACGCTCTCTCTTCAGTCCTCTCCACACTGCCCTCCCGTCCCTGCCCTCCCTTCCCTCCCAGGCCTTCACAAACCAGGGGGACGGCAGCAGGCGAGCAGCAGGCGAGGGGAGCACCAGGGCGGGCAGCAGGAGCGCGGGCAGCAAGGCAGCAGCGGCGACCTCATCAACGGTTTAGGTTGCAGTATCGCTCCTGCCACCACACTCCACTCGAGCCCACTCCCCCTCAGGTTCAGGTTCAGGTGCAGGTTCAGGTTGGTAGCGGCTCTTGTGGGGTTGTGTTTGGCTTCACATGCACTGTCTTTTCTGCTGTTGCACGTGTGTTTGACACTTTTCTCCATTGCAACCCCTCTTACTTTCGGCTGCCTTCCCTTTCCGCCCTGCCCTCCCTCCCCCTCCCTACCCTGCCAGGCCTTCACAAGCCAGGGGGGCGGCAGCAGGCGAGCAGCAGGCGAGGGGAGCACCAGGGCGGGCAGCAGGAGCGCGGGCAGCGGGGCAGCAGCGCCGGCCTCATCAACGGTTGAGGTTGCAGTATCGCCCCTGCCACCACACTCCACTGGAGCCCACTCCCCCTCAGGCTCAGGTTCAGGTTCAGGTTCAGGTGCAGGTTCAGGTTGGTAGCGGCTCTTGTGGGGCTGTGGTTGGCGTCACATGCACTGTCGTTTTTGCACTCACACTGCTGTCAGAGTCTTCTCGTTTAAAAGAGTCACTCCTTCCCACCTGCCCCTTACTATCTCTCCATCTCTCTCTCCCTTCTCTGCCTCGCAGGTCCGTCCCTTCAAGCCCCGCTCGCCTGTCCACTCTCCATCGAAGCACCCCCTCCGCCTGCACCACACAATCAGCTAAGTACCCGTTCCCCCATGCCCGCACCCTTGCCTGCCATTCCATTTCTTTCGTTTCATCTGCTGTTGCTCCGTCTTCTTGAAACAATGCCACTGGTTGAGTACTACTCACATGTTACAGACCCCCCAACTTCAGATAATTCCCTATAATAACCCCTTCAGGTGCAGGTACACCCCTCAGGTTTTTTTTCAGGGTCTGCAGCTTGTGGCCGTGCTTCAACCAGTGGCTCCTCCGCCCTTCCCTTGCGCTGGATTTCGAGTCACAGTCTCTCATTCAACTTGCTCCCACCACTGCGCTCTGACTAGATCTGTGTGTGCGCATTGCAGGTGGCGGGGAGGGGTGTGGGGTCAACACCGACGCTCCCTCACGCCCCTCCCCTGTGGCCGTGCAGGGAGGAGGCACCTGAAGGAGGGCTGCTGCGGAGGGAGGCAGCAGGTGGTGCTTCAGCTGCCTTGAGCTCGCCCGCACGCCACCAGCTAAGTAACCCTCCTCCATGCCCTCACCTTCTTTGCATGTCATTTCGTTTGCTGGTTGTACGCTCTTCCCTTTGAAACAATGCCACTGGTCCAGCGCGGTTCACATGCCACAGACCCCCACACTTCAGGTATCTCCTCAGGTGCAGTGCAGGTAACCCTCTCAGGTGCAGGTCCCCTCTCAGGTGCAGGTTCCCCCTCAGGTGCAGGTTCCCTTGGCGTCTGTGGCGTGTGGCCTTGCCTCAACCAGTGGCGCTCTTTCACATTTGGCAGTTCCGGTCTCTGGCTTTGTTGTGCCCTTACCATGCATACTGACCACTGCCGTGTGTGTTCATTGCAGGTGGAGGGGAGGGGCGCTGGGGTCAACACCGACGCTTCCCCACGCCCCTCCCCTGTGGCCGTGCAGGGACTCGTGGGGACGGGAGGGAGGCAGCACTGCAGCATGGCAATCCCACTGCAGCAAGGGAGAGTATCGGGATGGGCTTGGCCTCTCAAGGTAAGCCTCTTACCTCTCTTTGCCGCTGCATTCGTTTTCTGCTAACTTGCCCTCTTGCGCTCATCCCTTTGATTCGCCCTTGCCTGTTTCAAGGCCTGCACTCACTCCCCACTTGACCTTCCCTTCCGTTCTGCCCCCCTCCAGGTCACTCGCAATGCAGCAGAGGCAGCTGACAGGACCAGTTGTGGCAGCATCAGCAGCGGGGAGCACGGATGCAGCAGTGGAGGGGAGGGAGGGGGAAGGCGGCATCTCCAAGGAGGCGGTTCTTCAGCAAGTGCTTTCGCCTCCCTGGACTCACTCTTGCCTGCTGCTCACTGCATCTCCTGTTTTCTTGACTCTCCAAATGCAAGCCTCCTGTTGAGCCAAAGCATCAAGCCACAGACCCCTTTTCTTGGGTAAACCCCCCCAGGTATTGCAGGTATACTCTCAGGTCTGCAGGTAAGCCTCCCAGGTGTGTACCCCCCTTGGATCTGTGGCTTGTAGCTGAGGCTGCACCAGTGGCCCCCTCTGCTCTCACCTGCCATCCCACCCCACCCCACCCATGCACTCCTCTCACATTTCTACCCCTAGCCGCATACTCACTCCTCTTCAGTTCTCTCCTTTCCGTTGAGGGGAGGGGCGTGGGGGTCAACACCGCCGCTCCCTCGCGCTCCTCCCCTGTGGCCGTGCAGGTGGCGGTGGGAGGGGAGGGGGGCAGCACTCCACTCGGCTGGGGTGGGAAGGGAGAGTATCGGGCTGGGTCGTCTGAAACAAGGTGAGCCTCTTTTCCCCTCCCTGCCACAGGTGCTTGAATGTCTGTTCATGCTCGCATCATTCTTGCAATTTCTGCACTCGTCGCTCTCTCGTCATTCCTTTTCACCATGCCCTCGCGTCCCTGCCCTCCCTTCCCTCCGAGGCCGGCACAAGGGGAGGGCAGCAGGCGAGCAGCAAGCGAGGGGGGCGCCAAGGTGGGCAGCAGGAGCGCGGGCAGCTGGGCAGCAGCGCCAGCCTTATCAACGGTTGAGGTTGCAGTATCACCCTGCCACCACACTCCACTTGAGCCCGCTCCCCCTCAGGTTCAGAGGTTCAGGTTCAGGTGCAGGTTCAGGTTGGTAGTGGCTCTTGTGGGGCTGTGGTTCGCATCACAAGCGCCGTCTTTTTTGCACTCGCACCGTCTTCTCGTTTAAAAGAGTCACTCGCTCCAACCTGCCTCTTACTATCTCTCTATCTCTCTCTCCCTTCTTTTGACTTTAGTGTTTCTGATCACGTCACATCACTAACCTCCTGCCCTTTCTCTCCTGTCTCGCTCCCCCTTATCTGCCCGCCACCAGGTCACTCGGCATCAAGAGAAGAGTGCAGCAGAGGAAGCAGAGTAGCAGACCGGCAGCAGCAGTTGCAGCAGCAGATGCAGCAGCCCAGCAGCAGTGGGGGGTGGGGGGCTGGACATGAGATTAGGCTAGGCATGGCATGAGCGAGGTGTGGTAAAAGGTATGGTATGGTACCAGGTGAGGTGTGGTGATCTGATTCCCCCTTCTCTCTCTTTCCCCCTCTTCTCCCCCCTGCAGGCTGAGTGTGGGTGCACTGGAGCAAGCGCGGAGAGTGGAGTTCACCCTCTCTCTCACCTCCTCCTCTCTCCCTTTTCCCTTCCCTCCCAGCAGCACCCTGCCTGGACCACAGAGGAGTCCCTCCCTCCCCTAATCCCTCCTTCTCTCTCCACTTCCCAGCAGCCTCATCATCATGGCGCTCTGCATGGCTCTGGTAAGTGGAGGTAAGTACAGGTAAGGTGGCATGGGGGTGAAGTGTGGGGGGAGGTGGGTGGGGAGGAGCATGGGAGCACGCGGGGAGTTCACTTCCTTAGGGGCAGTATCTTCTGGGGTTGTGCCTTGTGGGTGGGGCGTGGTGGGTGGAATCTGAGCGGCACGGCACTCGGTGCTCAAGTAACCGATCTGGCGTTCAAGGCTTAATGGACACCGTCAGAGCCGACCGGCCGGCGGCTCTGGTTCGCGTCAGCTCTAGCCATGTCAGGGGTGGGATTTGAGTCTTGGGCTGGAAGCAATTTTCCGCTACCCCACCCCGCTTCACAAGGCACAGCCTTTGGGGGTGCTGTTTCCCTAAGGAAATGGCCTGCCTGCTGCTCCTACTGCTGGAAAAGTGAAGGTGAGGAGGGGCTGAAACCCTCTGGGAGGGCGAGTGGGAGAGAAGGGGCTGAAACCCTCTGGGAGGGCGAGTGGGAGAGAAGGGGCTGAAACCCCTTGGGTGGGTGAGTGGGAGAGAAGGGGTGTGTGATAGTGTGGTCTGGTGTGTGATAGTGCGGTGTGTGATAGTGTGGTATGTGATAGTGTGGTGTGTGATAGTGTGGTGTGGTGTGTGATAGTGTGGTGTTGATAGTGTGGTGCGTGATAGTCTGGGGTGTGATAGTGTGGTGTGTGATAGTGTGGTGTGTGATAGTGTGGTGTGTGATAGTGTGGTGTGTGATAGTGTGGTGTGTGATAGTGTGGTGTGTGACAGTGTGGTGTGTGATAGTGTGGTGTTTGATAGTGTGGTGTGTGATAGTGTGGTGTGTGATAGTGTGGTGTGGTATAGTGTGGTGTGTGATAGTGTGGTGTGGTATAGTGTGGTGTGTGATAGTGTGGTGTGGTATAGTGTGGTGTGTGATAGTGTGGTGTGTGATAGTGTGGTGTGTGATAGTGTGGTGTGTGATAGTGTGGTGTTTGATAGTGTGGTGTGTGATAGTGTGGTGTGTGATAGTGTGGCGTGTGATAGTGTGGTGTGTGATAGTGTGGTGTGTGATAGTGTGGTGTGTGATAGTGTGGTGTGTGATAGTGTGGTGTGTGATAGTGTGGTGTGTGATAGTGTGGCGTGTGATAGTGTGGCGTGTGATAGTGTGGTGTGTGATAGTGTGGTGTGTGGAATCACAGTCCGGCATGGAATAATGTGGTGTGTCAGAGTGTGACGTGCCATGAATCTGATGTGCACTGATGAGTCATTGCCTGCTGCAGTCATGTCAGCCTTGTCATTGCCTGGTGCAGAGGGGGGAAGGGGGAGGGGATGAATCCCCATGGGTGGGAAAGTGCGGCTGAAACCCCTTTGGTGGGAGAGTGGGGGCTGAAACCCCTTGAGTGTACTGTGTGGCATTTTACAGTGTTGTATGACAGGTGGTGAGATACAGTGTGCTACCATACGGTTTGGTGTGATGCAGTGTGGCATGATGTGGTGCGGGTGGATGCACAGTGGTATGGTTCAGTGTGGCTTGTTTCGGTGCGCCTTGTTTCGGTGTGCCTTGTTTTGGTGTGCCTTGTTTCTGTGTCGCTTGTTTTAGTGTGGCTTTTTACTGCGTGACATACTGGAATCTGCCATTACATGACATGGTGTGGCATGTCATTTTGTGGCATGGCATGGTGTGGCATGTCATGTGGTGGCATGGCATGGTGTGGCCTGATATCATGCCATATGCAGGCTGGCAGCATCTGGAGGGCAGTGGAGCACAATGGAAGGCAACAAAGACAGTGTGGGAGGGAAGAGGAGGGAAGTGGGGTCGGGGAGTGGAGGTGTGCCTTGCGGCAAGCATGGTTCTCACCTGCCATCGATGCATTGCTCATGGAGGGAAGAGGTGAGGAGTTGGGGAGTGGAGATGTGCGATGTGGCACAAATGGTTGATTGCTGGAATGAGATTAGATGCGCTTGTTCACTATGTAAATATTGTTAAATATACCTAGCTGTCTGAAACAGAAGAGAGGAGTATTTTCTCTCAAGTCATGGTTATAAGTAAGGCTGCAATTTTGGAGTTGTGTGCTGGACGACAGCAAAGCTAGGCTTCACCACTGGAAACATGAGGTGCAAGTAATTTTCTGCCTAAATCGCCTGTCACGCATATAACCTGAAACAAAAGATTGTACCAGCATTACATATATTTCATTTTATACATTTTCACTCACTAGGTCTAGTGCAGAATTTCCAGCTCCTAATTGTACATCTTCGGTGTACTCGAAAACCTGGCTCAAGGTGTTCCAGCTTCCATCCTCGATATGCAACTTGCCCAACTTCCCTCCAATTTTCAAATTTTCGCTCTCTGACTGAACTTTCGGTCAGCCAATCCCCGCTTCTCTGATCAACCAAACCTCATCCCTTCCAAGCCGCTTTCCCGCCAACCAGTTGACGAAAGATGTTCCCAAGACTTCTCCTCGCACAACAGCAACCAGATGTTCTCTTATCCATTCTTCGCTTCCTTGGCTACTGCTTGCACTACTTTCAGGCCAACCTTCTCTTATCTCCGCTCTGACATCCATGTCCAGCTATGCGAGCTGCTAGTTGCACGAGCCTTTAGTCTCTTACGTTCCTGCACTAACCTTAGGCTTAGTCATACTTTATTAGTCGCGACTCTGTCTCGCATCGAAATGAATAACCATATGAATGTCATTCTAAGCCGAATGTCACCCTAGGAAGGTGTAGGGTATATTATCGACCTTAGTACGCGGTCCAAAGGCGCAGGATAGATTAGCGACTTCCAGAATGCATTACCGTGACGTACGACAAACCTGCAACTTTCAACATGTGGCCTTAAACCACCTGACGATTTCGCCTGTCGTCGGCTTTCGCAGTCGTTTGCCGAGTTTGTCTGCCCTTCGCCAAGTGTCGCTCAAGTTGGCAAAGTTCGATGCCGCCGTTCGCGGTGTTTCTCTGCTTGCTCCCGTCGTTCGCCAAGTTTCACTGTCATTTGCCGGATCCTACTAGCGCTTGCCGACCTTCGGTGCCGTTCACCAAGTATCGCTGCCTTTCGCACAGCTACTGCCGTTCGCCGACTATCGATGTCTTTCGCACAGCGACTGCCGTTCGCGTAGTGTCGCTGCCTTTCGCATTCGCACAGCTGCTGCCGTTCGCGTAGTGTCGCTGCCTTTTGCATTCGCACAGCTGCTGCCGTTTGCGTAGTGTCACTGCCTTTCGCTGCTTCCGTTCGCCGAGTGTCGCTACTTGTCGCACAGCTGCTGCCGTTCGCGGAGCTTCACTGCCTTTCGCACAGATGCTGCCGTTCGCGGAGTGTCGCTTCCTTTCGCACAGATGCTGCCGTTCGCGGAGTGTCGCTTCCTTTCGCACAGCTGCTGCCGTTCGCCGAGTGTCGCTACTTGTCGCACAGCTGCTGCCGTTCGCGGAGCTTCACTGCCTTTCGCACAGATGCTGCCGTTCGCGGAGTGTCGCTTCCTTTCGCACAGCTGCTGCCGTTCGCCGAGTGTCGCTACTTGTCGCACAGCTTCTGCTGTTCGTGGAGTGTCGATGTCTTCAGCACAGGTGCTCCTGTTCGTTCGCGGGTTGTCCGCCGTTCACTACGTTTCACTGGTTTCGCTGACTTTCGCTGCCGTACGCGAGGTTTGCTTCGAGAAACGACGGCGAGCGTCGTCGCTGCAGTAGCCGTCGACGCCTACCCGCTGGTTCCGCCGACAAAACGACGTCGTTGTTGTTCCTTTCGTCCAAACAACTTCAGCTGCGGTTTCCGGCTCCGTCGAAGCATTGCTGACGTTTTCGCCGTCAAAGCGACGGAGATGCTCATTTCATCGTCAACCGACGTTGCTGCTATTCCGCGGTCAAAGCTCCGCCCCTGCTGCTTCCTCTGTAAACACAATGGCTGTCGTTACCGTCGTCAGAGCGGCGTTGCTGCTGTTTCCGTCGTCAAATCGACGTTGCTTTGAGCGCGAGGAGCAACGACGAGAGCAACGACTGCAGCAGCAGCAGCTGCAGCATCAGCATGAGCAGCGACGGATCGAATTGGAACACGGGAAGCAGCAGGACGCTGCTTGGGACGAAGGCGTGGCGCAGCAGCAAGCGAGCAAGCTAGAGCAACGAGCGTCAGCGGCAACGACGCGGTGCTGGTCACGACGGGAGCAACGACCGTGCAGCCACGCGTGACGCATCGAAGTGAAAGCGTGGCGCAGGAGCGGCAGAGCGGCGACGGAACATGGTACGTGCCAGGAGATGCTCGCAGGGGGGGAATAGTAGTGAGTCCTAGAGCGTCGCCGCGCAGAGGCAAAAGTCGTGTTTCCTGTCCTTTCCTCCACCACTCTCCTGTTGCTGTTTCTAACCCTCTCTTGTTGCATCGTTTCTGTGTGGCTGAAGATCCCAGCGGAATCAGGTCGACGGACCCGAGTTGCCAGGGTCGACGAGGGGGGTCGACGGACAGGGGTCTGACGAGGCGGGCGAGTGACGCGCGTGCGGGCCCGCCAGCCTGGCCCTGGGCTGGGCCGGGCGCACGACCGCCGCCCCGCAACCCCCCCCCCCCGAGAGTGAACAGCGACCCACGTTACCGGGTGGGGGCGGCGAGCTGGCGAGACCTCGGGCGAGGGAAAGTAACCCTGCCGCGAAGGCAGCCCACCCCTCCCTCGTGCCCGCGAGGTCCTAGTAACCCATCGCGGCCTGCCCGTACGGGCAGGCGAGGTCCACGCGAAAATCGGGGGCTCCCCTCGGGTCGCTCGACTATTTCGCGACCCGTTGCGGTGACGCCACGTGCTCGCCCGTCATTTCGCATTGCGTGCATGAGACATTTCGTACCCCCCGAAACTCGAGCGAAAACTGGGTCGTTCGCCACGGGGCGCACGGCTTTCGCGACCCTCTGCGAAATCGACACGTGGTGCCGAAACGTCGCACCGCGCCCACGCGAAGTTGCGTCCCCTGGCCGACCGAGGCCGGGGGACGTGACTTCGACCTGTTGGCTCGGCGGCGAGGGTGCACTTGTGCCACGCAACTTGTGCACGAGCCCTGCCGAGCCAGGCATCACGGCCCCCTGGGCGACGCTCAACCGGGCCTGCGTGGCTCCGCCTGGCTTTTCTTCGTTGGAGGTGGACTGGCCCCTCATTTTCGCGTTCTCGTTTCTCTTTCATTTTTCCTCCCACCTCGGCGCCTTCCATACTCCCACCGTTTCTTCCCTTAGCCTGTAGCATAGCATCCTCGCTCTCCCGCCATGGCAGCCGGCCAGAAAGCCGCCGAAGCGGCGCCGACCTCGCTAGATTTCCCCCTGCATCTAGACATCGGTAGAGGACACACGGCCAAGTTCGAAGAGCACGACTACGCCGTTCTGACAAACCCTATGCTAGAGTTTAACGCCCGTTGCTTGGGACTCGGTATCAAGTGAGTGTCTTATGGAGATGTCGTCGTCGACGGGCCTATTCCATGCTGGTCGGCCATGGCGGGGTTTCAATGCGTCCAGTAGTATATGTCGACGGGCTTAGAGTTCAGGCACATCACATCGGTGATGCCGACGTAATGCGTTAGGTCGTCGACGACGCTGAGTTGTGCCGAAGTCGTTCGGCTTCCGTCATTCCACCGTCGTGCCGCGCACCTATACCTCTCTAATTTGTTGTAATCATGCATGCGTGCAGGCACGCATGGATCCGCTCAACGGATGCAGGCGAGCGATTGTGGTCGATAGGAGTCGGCCGGCTTCGGGCGGCAATGGGTCAGGACGACCACACATGCTTTGCGACGATTTTCGACGCCGACGTGGCGGTTATCCCACTGATATCGAGGTGAGCAGGTTCGAGGTCCTGCTGTGTGCTGCAACCTGTGTCGGTGATTTGTTCTGAGCGCCATCGACGTGCCTTGTCTGTGCAGCATCGCACCGCTTCCGGGAGCACATTGCAGCGTCGTTCTCATCCTGTGCCCCGGCGATTTGTTCAATGCCTCGGGGCAGGAGGTCAGGACCTCGATCCGGCACGCCGACCCGCAGACAGTGAAGGAGTGGCACCGCGACGAGGCAATCCGCGTGCTGAAGTGAGCTCGATAGTTTAGTCGACATCGCATACATTGTCGACACGGCGCGTGCACCGTGCTAACCGACCGTCCTTGCCGTGCTTTTGCAGGTTTTTCCGGACCGCTGTTTTGGCCGAGCTGCGGCGCGAGGGTAGGAAATGGGAGTGGGCGAAGCCGTCCGAAGACGAGGTGCAGGAGAGGCTCGCCGACTGCGACGAACCCCTTCGAGATGTGAGTTCCGGACGATTCGCCATCATATGGTGTCACATCTACGCCGCCCTCATCCTTGCTCTCTGCACTGTTGTATGCAGAAAATTCCCGATACCGTCCGGGACTCGGACGCGGGCTCCGGCCTGCTAGCAATGAGCGCGTTGATCTGGGTTGTGAGGCGGTTCCAGCGCCTGACCGGCGACCTCCGTCGCATTGCCACCAGCATGGACAAGCCCACCGTCTCGGGGTTGAAGGCGCTGCGGAACGAGATGGTAGCCCTCATCAAGAAGCAAGTCCCGCTTATACGGTCGGGGAAAACCGTTGTTGCTGCCGACGCCTGTGACGACGACGGCGAGGAAGTCCATTCTGCATCCGTACCAGTAGGGGTCGCCCCGAACGTCGCTGATGCGCGTGGCAAGTCGGGAGTCGGCGTCGACGAGGCCGATGCGGCCGCAGGAAAGGGGGTGACCGGGACTGAGGTTGTTCACGGGGATGATGATGGGGTCCAGGATCGCGAGGAGGAACGTGAGGGTGAGGGGGGCTCGGAGGAGTCGTCGGGGTCGAGGTCGGGGTCGGGATCGGGGTCGGGCTCGGAGTCGGAGGAGGAGCAGGAGCAGGAGACGCAGGAGCACAAGAGGCAGCACCAGGAGGAGCAGTTGGTAGAGGTGGAGGACGTGGAAATGGCGGAGGTGTACGTTGTCGGAGGAGCGGAGGGGTACGTTGTCGGAGGAGCGGAGGAAACGGGTGGGAGATCGGTGGATGTCGAGAACGACGAAGGGGAGGGGAAGGGTGCGACAGCGAATATCGGCGAGGTCGGCGTGGAGGCGGCTCACGGAGGTGGTGGCATGGTCGAGGTCGGTGAAGGGGATAACGCCGCGGTCCCGGAGCAGAGGGGCGTGGATGTGCATACCGATGCCACCGCGGAGAAGGCCGGTGGGGAGCGATCTAGGAGGAAGAAGGCGGCGAGCGGTCATCCCGGTTCCACCGCGGCTGGGCGGCAGGCGCGGCTGGACGTCGTCGATCAGCTGAGGGCGGAGAACAGGCGATTGCGTGCAGACAATGCACTCCTTGAACGGCGGCTCGGTGAGCAGACGGGGCGGGTCGACAGCTTGGCGGCGGCATTAGCTGGGCTCCTCGAGAAGGTGAAGGGTTTGACCGCTCAGGTCGCCGACACCGACCGGAAATCGGAGGAGCGCCTCAAAGAGGCCACGTCGACCATGGCGACCACAATCACCGAGGGCCTCACCGACAACATGGACAGCGCCATTCAATCGGCCAAGTCCTTCGCCGAGCTAGCGAGGCAGACGCTGCTGGATCTTGACGACCCCAAGGGACGAGCGGCGGTCGCACGCGCGACCGCGGTGAAGACAGTGACCGAGCACGTGACGGCGGAGGTGGGCGAGGCGAGGAAGGGGTTGGAGGAGTCGTTCATCAAATACATTGGCGCCGCGCAGACCAACATTGCCGCCGCCGTCGCGCCCCGCCTAGTCCAGCCGCCGCCGCCTACCGGCCCAGCGCAGGCCTTGCCGGAAGATTTCCTGAAGTCTTTCAAGGAGGACGTGCTGAAGGCGGTGACGGAGACCACGCAGCAGTCCTTCCTCGCCTCCGGACTGAAGATAATGGCCGAGGTCGTCGGCACGGTGGCGTATGCTCGGCGTGGGTCGTCGCCGTCGGCAAACGACGCCGGCCAAGCGCAACCTACGGAGGGCTTGAAGCTGGGTCACAAGAGGCGGGGAGGCGGCGGGGGGGGCGACGGGGACAATTCGGCGAACACGAAGCGAAGCAAGGGAGGCGGGGGGTCTGGCGGCGGGGGGGGGGACGGAGACGATTCGGCGGGCGCGAGGCGGACCAAGGGAGCGGCTGGTTCTCGCGTCGCCGGCGATGGGAGCATGGGAGCCGGCGACGGCAGTTCGTTGAAGCAGTCGGGGAAGAGCGTGGTCGACATCCTCAGGAAGCACTGGGCTTAGGTTGGAGCGGCCAGCACGGGCCATGGTGGTGGGGGTCCCGCCGACGAGCATGCCACTGATGACGCACTGCCAATGGCTCCGCCTTCGGTCGGCGTTAAGCCACCACGACAGGGTAGCGGTGTGAAAGGCCTGCGCGACAAGGAGAAGGCCGCCGCCAAAACGGCCCCAGGCGGGTCCGCAAAAGCTGGCCAGGGCCCGAAGACAGGGGTTGCGGAGGCGTCAGCGGTTCCTCACCAGTCTCCCGCGGGTGCACGCCATCCGACCGGACCGTCTGCCGGGCGACCTACCGACGTTCCGCGCCATGCCGACGTACCGTCTGCCGACAAGGTTGGCCGCGCGGGAAAAGGGGCGGCAGTTGTGGACGCGCTCAAGGAGCAGCTCAGGCTCCTAGCCGGCCACAGGGCTGTTCAACAGGCCCCCCCTGCTGTCGACGTCCCATCGGCCAGTGGGCCACGTGTAGTGCCGGTCGTCGCCGCCCGTACTCCTGCAGACCCAAAGTCCGCGTTGTTGCGCGCCCAGCTGGGCGCACTAGCGTCGACTGAGAGGACTCAGCAGGCTTCTGGCTCTGGCTCTAAGCCGTCGTCGGCGAATGTCGCACCACCCACCCATGTGGCAGCTGATGTGGAGAAGGCGGCGGAGAAGGGCGTTCGTGCCGCGCTTGCCACCGGCGGCGGCGCCGTTGAGGAGGTCCCCGCAGACGCTGATATCGCTGCCATACAGGCCCATCTGGATGCAGCCAATCCCCGAACCCTGGCCATCTCCGACACGGAACATGTGGAGCCTTCGGCGGGACTCGTCGGCATCGCGGCAGAGCCTAGTGCGACCGGTGATGCGGTCGGTGAAGGAAAGTCGAAACGGAAGGGGAAGGCGGGCTCACAGAGGAAGACGCGGGAGAAGTCGGAGGTGAAGGCGGCGGATAAACAGAAGGGGATGGCGGCGGAGACGGCGGCGGACAAAGATCGAGGCAGCATTGGGGAGGTTGAAGGGAAAGGGGAGAATCAGGAGAAGTCGCCCGGCGAGGGTACGTCGACGGGGAGGAAGGGGAAGGACAAGTCGGTCGGAGAAGGTGCGTCGACCGGGAGAAAGGGGAAGGAGAAGGCGGTCGGCGAGGGTTCCTCAAAGGGGAGAAAGGGAAAAAGGAAGGCGGAGGAGGAGGATGAGGATGTCGAGGAGGTGGAGGAGGTCGAGCAGGAGGAAGAGGAGGAGGAGGAGGAGGAGGAGGAGGAGGAGGAGGAGGAGGAGGAGGAGGAGGAGGAGGAGGAGGAGGAGGAGGAGGAGGGGAAGGGCAAGGAGAGGAGGGGTCATGGCATCTGACACGATACCTCGGGCGACAAGCAAGGGTGGGTCGGCGAGATTAAGGTGCACGACATCAATCGATACATCGGCAAGTCGCGGGACAAGATGGAGCTCGCGTACGTTCACTCCATCGCGTACGTCGTCTACGACAGTTTCGTGAGCAAGGTGCTCATGACCGAGCTCACCGGCTTGGACAGCGCCGAATTGGAGAGGTGGAAGGAGGTGTGGGAGGAGGTCAGGATCTTGCCGACAGGGATGTGGACGGTGATGTGGGCCCGGGGTACGCTCCTTCCAAAGACACGGTAAGTCGGCAATCCTCCGATTCAAAGTCGATGTCGTTGTCGTTGTCACTCATGTTCGCCCTGTTTGTGGTGGCGTGACAGGCTGACAGAGATCCTCGACGCGTATCGCCATTACAAGTCCACAGGCGATTGTCTCCACGCCGCGCTCCTGCCAGCGATATGGTACCCAGTCGATGCTAGCACCGAGGAAGGCCGGGAGAAGTCGGCGTTCATGATGTCGGCGATGATAGGCCGCGTGTCAATGTGCGCTGCATATGGGAAGACCGCTGCGGCAGCGGCGAAGAAGGAGGGAGACAAGGAGGAGAAGACGGATATGGCGGCATGGGTGTTAGCAGCATCCGCATGCGCTGTGTGGTGCTTCGTCGAGAACGGCGATGCCCAGCTGGCGGATGCTGTGGAAGAAGGGAAGTCGGCGGCGATCATCGGCGGAGCGAGCCAGGCGACCGCCGATGTATTCGGAAAAGTCATGGAGGCGGTGCTGAAAGCCGAGATGAACAGGGACCGCCCCCTGGGAGAGGTTGCCTACAACGTCGCGCCAGCACTCCAGAGGACCGCCCTTGATAGGGTCTATCCGGGGGGGAATGCTGGAGTAGATGCCGACGTTATCGCTAGAGCGACGGTTGAGACGATGGCGTTTTGGGGAATGTGCCCCGTCGCCGGGCCGAAACTAAGAGCGAGGGACATCGCGGTGCCGATTGACGCGCAGATGAAGGCCGATCTTGACAACAGGGGGAGGAAGGGTCTGAGGGGCAAGAAGGGGACGAAGACCAAGGGCGGCACGGAGAAGGGCAAGATGTCGAAGAAGGACAGCACGACGGCCTAGTCGACGGCCTGCTAAGATTGAGTGCTGCGTGGACTCGATGATGAAATGGTCGATATCGTTTTCCTTGTTTTGGCTGTCGGATCCCTTTGATGCTCTTTGTTTGTGTTTTTTTTTGTGCGTGCCTGTCTACTTTACGTAGGATGAGTAATGAACACATTAGCTAGTAATGATTGTCTACTTCAGTTTGAACGACACGTGAATGCCCCGCTAGGCCAAGAACAACAGGATCATTGTGAGAAACAAAAAGTCGACATCAGTATCAGTATGAAACATAGGCATGCTGCATCAACATCTACAACATGCAACAGGCCACAGTAGCAGGAGTCCTGGGAACATTCAAGCGGTTTTCTTGCGCTTGGTCGACTTATTGGTCGGAGGCAGCTGCCCGGCGTCGTTTTCGCGGGCCAGATCGGCCAACGTCTTCTTCATCTGCTCAACCCAGGTGTCCGGGAACAGGTCGGCGACCCACGTTTCGGGCTTTAACCCGCGCGCCACGAACACACAGGCGACACGAAGCTTGGAAAATTCCGTCTTGCCGAGCCCTTTGACGCCCTTACCCTGCCCAGCATAGGTCGCTACGGCGTCCGCGTTGAGCACCGTGAGGGCATCCGCGAAGGTCCCAATGCCAGGCGCCGCTATCTTGTTAAGCGCGTCGACGGTGGCTTCCGTGTCGGCTTCGCCGTCGCTCCTGCGAAGCTGGCGCACCGCATCGATGACCTTCATCATGCGGCGCACCCTCTTCCCGTGTGCTCCCTGCGAGGCTCCGTCGAGGAGGGTGTGGCGGTTGACGAATCCCGGCTCCCTGAACCTGTCGCACAGACGACGGGTGTCGGCGCTGGTGCACGAGGTCCAGAGGCGCCACGCGTCCTTGACGGTCGTTGCAGTCCGCCAAGGCTGCACTACGTTCAGCTCGTAGCTAGCCTCCTCGACCGTCTGTGGGGGTTTATTGGGTTTGTTGGCTCCTCCACCCCTGCTTGCCGACTCCGCGGAGCCACCGTCGCTCGGCGGCTGGTCGTTAGCAGCTGGCGGCGCCTCCGGCATCCTTCGAGCTTCTGAAACGCGGAGAGCCTCGGTGAGGCGTGTTATCTCGGCCGCGAGCGACGCGATGGTTGCGTCGCGATTCTCGATCTTCTCCTCGAGGTCGAGCTTCTGGACCGTTGACCGCTCCCTCTCGAGCTTAAGCGTCTCCGTGAGGGAGACGACCGCGAACTGGGCATCATGGCGGACCGATATCTCCTGCAATGGTATGCGAATAACGGTGCAGATGAGGGGTTGTAGCGGTCATAGATAACATCGCGACGTCGGCATAAAAGATGACCTACCTCTGGCTGGATGAGGGTTGGATCTTGCCGCTTTTTTATGGTGTCGGTGTCGGTCTTCTCGACCCTCTTCGCCCAGTGCTGGAAGAGGGGAATCCGGCAGAGCTTGGAATACTGGATGTACGGGTGCCAAGGGGTGCGGACGAGTTTCACCGCGAGGTCCTCGGCGACAATGCGGCGGAACATCAGAAGGGTGCGCCAGAAATGCACGGCCGCAACGTCGGCGTTGGACCCCTTCTTCGCGAGTTCTTCTGCCTGCAGTTAGACATCAGACGTGGGTTATTTCCGTGGTGGATAGGACAGTACCATGCAAGATTGGTCGGCACCGATAAACAAACCTTGTTGAGGAGGTCGTCGACGCTGGGGAAGATGTGCTCGGCGATGAGAGCGAGGAGTTCGTCTCCCGGTTCCACCCTACTGCGACCCAAGAAGTAGTCCTGCGTGAATCCCGAATAGCCGGCCTTCTTCATCACCACGCCGACGGGAATGGATGTGATGTAGGCTCGAGTCATCTTGTCGAGAGCCCAGTGACCCAGCTCGGCTATCTCGGCGCGAGGCGTACCTTGGATGGCCAACTCCTGCGCCCCGCCCGCCCGAGCGGCATGGACGTTCCGCTTGCAGAACACCCCGTTCGTCTTCCACATCTGCCTCGTCCATCGCTGGTGGCTGGGAGCTGAGAGTTCGCCCTGCTCGGGGTCGTTGCGGGCGAAGAACAAGTGCTTCTTGTACCAGAGCTCGCGTGTGCTGGTGTCGACCGGCGGAATGAGGTCGACGCCGTGAAACTGGCCGATCTGGTCGAGGACGAAGTGTAACCACAGCCCGGTCTCGCCGACGGCGCACAACTCCGCTTCTAGGTGCCGCGCCGCGTAGCTCTGTTGAAGACGCGCATCCTTCGACGTCTTCGAGTTCCGCGCGGCGACCACCATGACGACCGGCTGGTTATCCGGGTTCACCGACGAGGTGCTCGCCAGTCGGTACAGGAAGATGTCGGGGAGCGTTATCTCGCGTATGCTTGCACCGCGCATGAGGCTGTGGTGGGAGAGCAGCGTGAGCACCTTGATGAGAAGAAACCTCCACAGCGTCTGCGTAGGTGTGGTGAAATGCGGGCTCCATGCCGACGCCGCCCAAGCCGGCAGCACCCTCGTCATTATCTGGCGGAACTGTTCGGCGGTGTATGTGTCGCCGATGGTGCCGCGTCGACGGTCGGCGCATTTACTGTCGACATAACAATATATGGATATGAATATTAGGGCGAGGAACACAAATCAATGGCGACATAACACGGCGATGCATGCCAACTTACTCGAGGTCCCTCTGATTTTTCGTGCGGACCATGACCCGCACCTCCGACCGGACCACCGAGATTTCCCGCATGATGCCCAACTCCTTCTCCTTGTAGAGCGTCGCCTCCACCCTCGCCGCCATCTGGCAGGCCTTGATGCGGCCGAGGATCATGTGCACCGTGTAGGCTCGCACTGGCTCGTTCGTGTCGGCGTCGATCTTGTACTCCCGCCTCATGAACTTGATGTAGGCGCGCAGTCGCGTACTAGTGACCAGGGGGCCGTGCAGCCATATGTGCTTCCGCTTGACCACCTTCTCGTTGTCCCAATCCTTGCTCTTGTTGTTGTGTGTCCAGTGCCCTATCTCGTCGACGTGCCTCATTTGTTCTGCTGTCGGCAGTTTGTCGCCAATTTTTTTAAGCATCTTCGCTGTCCACCTTTTGTAGTCGTATATCCATGAGGTGTAGGACTTGAGCGTGCTCTTGGCCTCTATGGTTTTCAGGTGGCGCATTGCCTCCATCACGAGCACGTCGACGCACGCGTACACCATATCTTCCTCTACGAAGTCGGCCGCCTTCCACATTTCTCGAGGGACCGACGTGTGCAGCAGATCCTCAAGCTCGTTCTCGTCCAACAGTTCCTCTATGAACGCACATTCCCCCCTGAGTTTTTCTTCCAACGTGCGCGGACCTGCACCACGTCGGGGCCGCGGGTCGTCTTCGTCGTCCTCGTCGCTCGCCGATGAATAATCGTCCTCATCCTGGTCGCCCGATCCGTCCGGCACAGACGACGGCCCGGCCTCCCCTGCATCCGTCGGCGTCGACGTTTTGCGTGGTTTCGTGAACTCCCCTATCGGCGCGGGCGGAACGTCCTTGGTGAACTCTCCCTGCGGGATTTGGGCCAGGGCGTCGAGATCGTAAAGCAGCGGCAAAGTCGACGAGGGGTTACTTGTCGGTGTACGGTCTACCGGGCGGACGTCCTCACCCTGGCTAGCAGGGTTCGGAACGTCCGTCATGTCGACATCGGCGGGGGGTGGGTTGGTTTGCGGCGGTGTCAAACGAGGCTGTCCTCTGGCCATGATACGGCGACCTAGGGCGATGGGAAGTCGGCGTGGTGAGGTCGATAAACTACTAAATGCGTATTCTATGTCGGCGGTATCTGGCAGGTCGGGACAGCAGACAATCCTACGAGAGGTCGGCGACCACGTCTGCCTACTATCACGACGCCGACGTTACGCCTCTAGAGAAAATCCAAGTGCCGGCCGTCAAGTCAGTGGTTAAAAAAAAAAAAGCAATGGCACACACAATGGCAGGCGGAATGAGCGACCATTTCGGGGACCACGGATGGGTATGGTCGTGAGCGACTCCGCACCACTTGGCGCTCCACGCAAACCCCAGTGCACGATGCCGCCATGCATGTACGCTCGTGCGGCGGCGCCGTGTCCGACGTGCCACCAGGCGTGCATGGCTGCTTGCTTGCAGCGCTTCGCTCATCATGCTCTTTTCGTGGCTGCTACACGCTGGCTCTTTCGTGCGGCAACGTGGCGTGGTCCCGAATTAGGTGCACCTCGGTAGGTCGAGGTCGGGAGACACTGCCGTGTGGCACCACGATGATGCTCTTCTGGTCGACGCCGACATTCCCGCATCATCAGTGTCCACTGCACGTAGCCATAGATAGTGGACGGCCGGATTTCTCCTTGCGCATGTGAGCAACCGTTGGATGAATGTCGTGTGGTATGCACCGACCTTGCCACGTTCATGCGCGAGATTCTCCCAAGCGAAGCACCCCGACCTTCCGTTGGCCCGTCGTGTCCAACCTGGCTGACCTCGGTGGCCCCGCCATCCAGGGGACTATCTCGGGCGTCCCTTTGTGGCCGCGTGGCGATCATCGCGGCCCGACTTGCCGAGCTGGTATTCTGACACGCGGCTGAGACGTCCTTCTCGGGATTGTCTCAGCGGAACTCTAGGTCGACAGGTCGTCGACCATCCCGAGGGCTCACCAGCACCGGGCCCAGCCAGATAGGCTGGGCTTTCCACGCGGAGGTCGTCGTGGGGTCGTCAACCACGAGGAAGGGGGTTGTCCGTTTTGAACCGCGAAAATGGGCGGCAGTTTTCGTCGGCTGAGCTATATTATGCTGCCTCTCTCCCCATGCGTGTGTGTGCCTCCCGGCCTGCGAGGTGGACGGGAATGGCAGCGAGTGGACGGAGAATGCACGCGGCTCACGTTGCTGGCTCGCTTGAGAGACGACCGGGAGCAGCACGCGTGAAGTGAAGACGTGGCGCAGGAGCGGGCGGGGAACGCACGGGCTGCGGTTGCTGGCTTGCGCGAGAGACGACTCGGAGCAGCACGCTTCAAGTGACCGCGTGGCGCAGGAGCGGCACAGCGGCGGACGGAGCGTGGTACGTGCCAGGGGGTGCTTGCAGCGGGGGCGTCTTGTGAGTCCGAGAGCGTCGCAGCGCAGAGGCAAGAGTCGTGTCACTTGCCCTTGTTGTATCTAACCCTCCCTTGTTGCATCGATTCTGTGTGTGTGCCGCATGGCCTGCGAGACGGACGGGAATCGCAGCGAGTCTGCCATGCTACCATGATGGACGGGGAAGGGGCGGGCTCCCGTGGCTGGCGCGCACGAGAGGCGACAATCCCAGCGAGGAGAAGTGAAAGCGTGGCGCAGAGCGGCCAACGGAACATGGTACGTGTCAGGGCATGCTTGCAGGGGAGACGTCTAGTGAGTCGCCGCGCAGAGGCAACAGCCGTGTTGCTCCCGCTGCTCGCCTCCTCTCGTGCTGCTCCTAACCCTTCCTTTTCATCCGCTTCTGTGTGCGTGTTTTCTCTCCGCATCCTTGTGTGTGCCTCACGGCCTCCGAGGTCGAGCGGAATGGCACGGAGTGGACGCGGAATGGCGCGGAATGGGCGCGGAATGGCACGGAGTGGACGCGGAATGGCGCGGAGTGGGCGCGGAATGGCACGGAGTGGACGCGGAATGGCTCTGTGTGTGCGCGAATGGCGTGGAGTGGGCGCGGAATGGCGCGGAGTGGGCGCGGAATGGACGGGACTTGCGTTGCGGCCTCGCTTGAGAGACGTCCCGGCCCAGAGCAGCACGTGTGAAGTGAAGGCAGGGCGCAGGAGTGGGAGAGCGGCGGACGGAGCGTGGTACGTGCCAGGTGGTGCTTCTAGGGGGGCCGTGAAGTGAGTCGTAGGGCGTCGCCGCGCAGAGGCAAGAGTCGTGTCTGTTGCCGTTGCTTCCACCACTCGCTTCCTGCTGCTTCTGACCATAACTTGTTGCACCGGCTCTCCCCGTGTGTGTGTGTGCCTCATGGCCTGCGAGGCAGACGGGAACGTCAGCGAGTGGACGGGGAATCGACACCACTGCCGTTGCTGGCACGCACGAGGGACAACCATCCTGCGAGGAGAAAGGGGAGAAAGGAGAGCAACCTGCCTGGACCAGCACGCCTGAAGTGCAGGAGTGGTACGTGCCAGGGGGTGCTTGCAGAGGGGCTGTGAAGTGTCGCCGCGCAGAGGCAAGTGTCATGTCTGTTGCCCTTGCCTCCAACACTCGCCTCCTCTCCTGCTGCTCCTAACCCTTCCTTGTTGTGCCGCTTCTGTGTTTGTCTCTCTCTCCCCATGCGTGTGTCTCTCTCTTCCCATGCGTGTGTCTCTCTCTTCCCATGCGTGTGTGTGCCTCATGTCCTGTGAGACGGACGGGGAGGCAGCGAGTGGGCGAGTGGGCAGCGAGTGACTGCAGGATGATGGCGAGCACTCAAGAGGTTGTGAGTGGATCAGGTCAAGCAGTTCCCCGCTTCACTTCTCACCTTTTACCATCTTCCTTCTTTTCGTGTTCCTTCTCTCTTGTCTACCTTTTTTCCACGGTGCCATGAGTCTTTGCAGCAATGCTGTGAGATGATCATGCCACTCGTCTCAGCTCCCTAACCCCTCCTCTCCTGTCCTCTCCTCCTCTCTGCAGCGACCGGTTCTTGCGACGGAGCAGCTGGGAGCACGGGCAGTGGCAGGGAGCTGCTTGGAGCCAAGGCTTGGCGCAGCAGCAACTGAGCAGCCTGGAGTAGCACGCTAGCAGCCAAGGTGTGGTGCAGGCAGAGCGGCAGGCTGGCAGACGGGCCAGGGTATGTGCCAGGGGGTGCTTGCGGGGGGGGGGGGGGGGGGCGTGAAGTGATTCGTAGGGCGTGGCCGCGCAGAGGCAGCAGAAAGGAGGGGTGAGTGCAGCTTATCCTATCGCAACCAAGTTCCCTTGATTTGTTGGTTGTTCAGTGCCGCCCGTGCTCTTGTCAGCGTGTCTCTGAGCTTACCCGTGTCCCTTCGCCCTTGTCCATGTGGCTCGTTCTCTTGCCTCACTCTATGCAGCTAACCTGATCTTCTCGCCTCGCTCCCCCCTTCATGGCCAGGATGATCGCCAGGTCAGCACACAAGGATCTGTGAGTCCATCACACCAACCAGTCCACCTGGAGCACCACGCCTGAGGTGAAGGCGTGGCGCAGGAGTGGGAGAGCAGCGAAGGGAGCATGGTAGGTGCCAGGGGGTGCTTGCAGGGGCGGAGTGAAGAGAGTCGTAGGGCGTCGCCGCGCAGAGGCAAGAGTCGTTTCTGTTGCTTGTGGGTCGATCACTTGCCACCTGCTGCTTCTAACCCTCCTTTCTTGCGCTGCTTCTGTGTGTGTCTCTCTTTCCCCACCTGTGTGTGTGTGTCTCTCCCCGTGTTTGTGTCTCTCTCTTCCCCCGTGTGTGGCTGTCTCTCTCCCCCCGTGTGTGTGTGTGCCTCGTGGTCTGCGAGACGGAGAGCAATGGCAGCACGTGGACGCATGAAGTGAAGGTGTGGCGCAAAATTGGGAGAGCAGCGGACGGAGTGTGGTACGTGCCAGGGGGTGCTTGGAGGGGGGCTGTGATGTGAAGAGAGTCGTAGGGCGTCGCCGTGCAGAGGCAAGAGTCGTGTCTCTTGCCCTTGCCTCCATCTCTCGTCTCCTCTCCTGCTGCTTCTAACTCGCATTGTCGTGCCGCTTCTGTGGTGTCTCTCTCCCCACGTGTGTGTGTGTGTGTGCCTCATGGCCTCGAGGGACATTGGCTGCAGCATTGGAGGGGGCAGTGGCGGCAGCAACGGTGGAATGATTGGCAAGCACACAAGGGGTTGTGAGTGGAGCAGATTGAGTCGTATACCATTCTCATTCTCATGCATTCTTTTCTGCATTTCTGTGCTGTCTACCATCTTTCCACTATCCGCACTGTGTCTTTGCTGCTGTGTTACTAGATGTTCATGCCATTCTTCTCAACTCTCAATCCCCTACTCTCCTGCCCTCTCCTTCACTCTGCTCGCCTCTCTTTCATCACCAGAAGTACAGCACATCACCTACAGTCCAGCACCAGCAGTATGGGCAGCAGCGGTGGCAGCAGCAGTAGCAGTGGCAGCAGTGCTTGCAGCATCAAGGGCTGCTGCAGTGGTTGCAGCTGCAGCACTGGAGGGGTAATTACATCTTAACCTAATGCTTCCCCCCAAGTGCTGGTTGATTTATATTCCTAGTGTTGTTGTCCCAGCTTTGATGCCTTACTTGTCTCCCTTCATGCTTCTCGTGATGTTGCTCCCCCTCCTCCTTTTCTGTGTCTTGTTATGTTGCTTCCCCTCCTCCTTTTCTGTGTCTCATCTCCTTCAATATGTTGCCCCTCTCCATGTCCCGTTGCTGTCTATGGCAACAGCTGCCAGGGAAGCAGTGGCAGCAACTGCAGTGCAGCGAATTCCACATGGTAGGTGTGATGGGCGATTCTGCAGACGGGAGTTGCTGGCCTTGCTAGCGTACATTTTGCTCTTGGTAATGCTGAGGGGAGTTGCCGGCAATCTCACATGAACAAAGCACACAACTTTCTTGTGTCTTTTGATCGGTTTCACTTTCATGGTGCTCTGCACTTGTACATCTCGTAAGCGTCTCTCTCTTCTCTTTCCTCCCCTTTCTTGCATGCCTCGTTGCTGCCCCATGAGCAGCCCATACCGTAAGTGGCTCTTCTATGGTGCAGGGCGAGGCAGAGGACATATGGGGTGGGGTACCCAGTGAGGTGCAAGGGTGCTGAATCTCCTTGGGCAACAGCAGTTCCAAAACACCGTATGAGTTTGTCATTATAGTAATATGGTACTACAAAACATGAAGTCTCAACTCAGACCATGCTCCATCATACTGCCTGAGTGGCATCGCGCATGCCTACAGCTAGTCAAAATCACGACCTTCAACAAATGATGCTACGAAAGAGAACTGAACTGGGAACGAACCATGCTATGGCGACAAATGAGGTGGAACCTGCAGTGACACAAGAATGGAGGTACAGTACTACCGTACTAACGTGTGTTGGTTGGTTGTACGGACGCTGGTGCAAGTGCATTGATGTGAGGAGGGTGCCTCTGTGCAACCGCGAGTGCATGTGCAGCGTAAGTGCGTGGGCGAGTGTGTCCATGTGCATGTGTACTGTATGCATGCGAATCCATGCGTGCTTGAGGAATGGCAGTGGTTGGATGGAAGATGAATGGGGGATAGATGGAGGGGCGGGCGGGAGGGGAGGCTGCATGCAGTACAAGATACAGCCCATTGCTGTGGAGGGGTACAGGTGCAGGTCTGCATAAAGACTGCAACAAGGGGTGTTTTGTGCAGTGTGCAAATCAGGTGTTCCGTGCTGCTGCGTGCATGAGAGTGATGGCCTGTGCTTCTGGTGCATGAATGGGGGAGCTTGGCTTGAATGAATTGGAAGATATGTGATTGTGTAGACTTGGCATGAGGTTGTGCAGACATGTGGAGAGGAAGGGAGAATGTTTGCTGGAGTAATTGAGAAGGGATGGGTGGATTGTGTATGTGTGTCAATGAATGTGCATAACTGCATGAGAAAAGAGACAGGAAGAAGCGAGTACGAGACAGAGAGAGGGAGAGAGGGTGAGAGAGAGGGAGAGAGCGAGCACGAGGGAGAGGAGTCATGAGAGTGACGGCTGAAATCCCATGGCTCTCAGGCGGGCAGGCAATAGCTGGGAGCAGGTGGCAGCAGCAGCACCTGCACCCACCCTTCTTAGCATCTGTAACTGTCCTGATCCATCCCCTCATGGCTACCTGCTTCACTAATCCCCCTCTAAACCCACTGTTGAAGCAAGGTGACTGCGTACCACAGTGCCTCGTGCACAGCTGCTTGATTGCTCGTACAGTCCCAACGTGCGCGTGGGCATGAGGAGAAGCATGGGCAAGACCCAGCAGAGAGACCCACCCACTCTCACCACCGATTTCGGATGTCCCAAAAGTACTAGTCCTGTAGCAAACACTGCTGCATCACCGTGGGTTCAACAGCCCCCATCACCACCTCCAGTGTCACCAGCTCTGTTGTTGTCAACATCGCCACTTCTTACTGGCGGCACCATCACCATCATCACCATCACCACCATCACCATCATCACCATCACAACCATTGCCCCGCAGTGAAAACACAGTCATCGTTATCACCTCCCCCCCTTCTTGCCTCGTGCCCTTAACTCCTTGCGGCTAGACGCACGTGCCTGAGAGCCACCAGCACCAGCACCAGCAGCAATACCAGCACTCCCACTGCCACCACCAACCCCATCAGCAGCTGCCACAACACGTTTTCCACTGCCACCACTCGTACCACCAGACAAAGAAACCCCACCAGCAACAGGTGCTTCAGTAGCAGCACCAGCAGTAGCAACAGCACGAGCAGTAGGCGAGTTGGAGGGAGCACCTGCATCAGCAGCAGGCCCACCATTTGCTGCTGCACTAGCACTGGCACTTTCACTTGCTCTGGCACCTGCATAAGAATCCACTGCTGCACTGCCAGCAGCAGCAGCAGGTGTCCCATCCACCGTCCCTTCTCCCCCTACATCCTCCCCTTTGTTGCGTCCAGCTACAACAGCATCTAACTGCGCTTCCGTACCCAACAATACCTGGCTGCGGCAGCTGCTGTCGTTGGTACCATTCATCCCATCTCCCTCGCCGCTGACACTGCTGCTGACAGCGGGTAACTGTCCGTTGCAGTTCCCAATACTGGTGGAGGTGCTGGTGACGTCGCTCGTGTCAGTGTTGTTGGCAGGGGAAGTCACAGGAGGGGAGAGAGGGTGCTTGAGCTGGGACCAAAGGCGGTCCAGGAACGCAGTGGGGGCAGAGGGTGGCGCTGGGGAGGGCGAGATGCTGTGCTGTAAGATGGTGGTCTCCGGGGATGAAACGGCTGCATCCCATCCTGTGAGACAGTGGGGAGGAAGGGGGCAGATACAGTAAATGGCATTAGAGAAAGTAGCGTGGAAGAGAAAGTAGCTGAGTAGTGATTGGAGGCAAATACAGAGAGCAGCTTCAACATGGAAGAAAAGCGAGAAGACAAGAACCCCAGACGAGGATGGAACCACATAAAGACGAGACAGAACGCAAATTATGGAGCGGGGAAACAGGCTGGGAGGAAGGGTAGATGATTCATCAAGGTCAGGCGTAGGGAGGAGTGGACAACAGAAGTGGAAAAGAGAAAATCGAGTCGGGGAGGGGGAGGGCTAGAGGGGCGTACGGTTCTTCATGAGGCGCAGGGCATGCAGCAGAGCAGCCCTCAGACGTGCATCGGGATCAGATTGTGGGGCGTCAACCTGCTGTGACACCTCTGCTTGCTGCTGCTCCTGTTGCTGCTGCTCGTGACTCATAGCCTGCTGTGCTGCTTGTGTGCGCTGCTCATGTGCATGCTTCTCACTATGGGGACTGGAACCTGCACGCTGCACTGCTGCTGCAGCAGCAGAAGAAACAGAAGGGATGGTGGCAGCGTTGGTGTTGACGGGATGGGAGGTGGAAGGGGGAGCGGCGGAAGGAGGAGCGTTGGCAGGAGTGCTTTTCCCTACCAGGGGAACCACCATGCTTCCTATCACAACCACTCTTGCTTTGGCGCTAGACGCAACATCGGCCACAGTAGCAGCACTGTTGGCAGCAGCAGTAGCAGCAGAGGTGGTGGCAGGAGGATCGAGCTGCAGCAGCTGTCTGAGAGATCCTTCTACAGCCGTTTTCCTGCTCGCCTCGGTTGCTGCTGCTGTTGCTACTGCAACTGATCCCTCTGGTGCGACTGCTACAGCTACTGGTGCGGCTGCTACTGCCACTGGTGCTGCTGCTACTGGTGTAACTGGTGCTACTGCTACTGGTGTAACTGGTGCTACTGCTACTGGTGTAACTGGTGCTACTGCTACTGGTGCTACTGGTGCTGCTGCTACTGGTGTAACTGGTGCTTCAGGTGCCGCTACTGCTGTTGTAACAAGTGATGCTACTGGTGCTGCCACTACTGTTGTTACACCTGGTACTGCTGCTGCTGCCACTGCTGCTGATTCTGCAATTGCTACTGCTGCTGCCACTGGTGCAGCTGCTCTTCCCCCCGAGCCCCTCAAACCTTCCACAGCTTCAGCAGCACTAGCCTCAGCCACTACACCACCAGCCCTATTCCCAGACCCAACCTGGGACCCACCCTGCTGCACATGCTTCCCAGATTTCGCATCTCTCTCCTTTCCACTGCCCGAGCTCCCTCTTTCCCTTCTACCATCGCCTTGCCCCCGCCCTGACTGTCCTGACTCAGTCCTGGACGCAGGAGCAGGGGCAGGGGCAAGGGCAGAGGCAGGAGCAGGGGCAGAGGCAGGAGCAGGGGTAGGAGCCGAAATGCCCCTGGACACACAGCTCTGCTGGGTCTCTCCCCCACTTACCTCCGCCTCCCTCCCCCGCAGCACCCCTCTAGCAGCAGGGGCGTTCTCAAGAACAGCAGCAGCACTGCCAGCAGCCGCGCTTGTGTCTAGCGCCATCCCAACATAAGGGCCCACAGCTTCCCTCTTCCCACTCCGCTGCTGCCGCCCCCTGCTCTGCTCCCCCCGCTCGCCGCCCCCTCCTTGCCCCCCCTTGCCACGACCCCTCCTGCCTCCCGCACTCCCCGTCCTTGCAGCAGCTGAACCTGAGCCTGAGCCCGCACCCGTGCCTGTCCCTCCTCCTGCTGCACCCGTCCCTGCAGGTGCCCCCCTGGCGTTTGACAAATCAAGATTACTGCTACCTGGGCCCGTGGGTCCATCCGTGGGTCCACCACCAGCGGAGGCGGAGCTTCCTTCTGAACGGTCCAACGGGGCACGAGCAGCAGCGCGAGCAGCAGCACGAGTCCCTGCCATGTCTACACTCCCTGCGTCTGCTCCCTCTCTCCTTGCCCCCACTGTGTGCTGCTCACGCTCCTTGCTTTTCACGCCCACTGAACTGTCTGTGGCGGACATGGGTGCTGGGTGCACCCTAGCGCCCTTGGGAGAATCGAGAGACTCGGATGATAGCCCATCAGAACTGCTGTCGCCCCCTGCTTGCTGTTGCTGCTGCTGCTGCTGCCTCTGCTGCTGCTGCTGCTGTCGCACTTGCTGCTGCAGTTGCTGGGGCTCTTTCTTTGCCTCGTCTTCCTCCTCCTCTCCCTCCTCTTCCTCTCTCCCCTCCTCTTCCCCGACCTCTTCCTCCTCCTCTTCCTCTTCCTCGTCCTCCTCCTCCTCTTCTTCTTCCCTTTCCTCCTCATCCTCCTCCACCTCCTCCTCCTCTGCTTCTTCCTCTTCTTCCTCCTCCTCTTCCTCCTCTTTCTCCGAGTCCTCACCTTTACTCCAGGTGACAACACTGCCCGTCAACCCCACACCACGGTCACCTCTGGAACCCTGCTGCCCCACTTTGTCTGCCGCCTTGCCTCCTCCCTTCTGCCTCTGCCGTTTCTTCCGTCTGCGCTGCCGCAGGAGAGCCCGCCTGCCAGAGTGTATGGGGAAAGAAGGGGACAGAAGCAGAAGCGCAGGACCGTCAATACGTGAAGCCAAAGCCGACTGATGCCTGTTACCCCCAAATGCAGACGCACACACACGGCGTCGAGCTGTGCCGTACCATAGACACCACAAGTGTTTGCCGAGGACGAGAACAAACGAACGGAGGGAGAATGGAGGGGGGGGATGATGAGAGAATTAACAAAGGTAAGGGGGGGGGGGGGGGGGGGATGGGAGAGGAGAGGCAGAGGAGAAGAGCAACCCGAACTAGCATGAGGGAGAGTTACTAGAGACGGAGACCACATGACTGAGTGGACGGGCAAGAGCAGGCGAGGCAGGGCCTTACTCGTGCATGGCAGCTGCTTCCTCCTCCACCAGCAGGTGCTGCTTTTGAGAATTCTCAAAAGAGAATAATCAACAGCGACCACAGGACTGACGGACGGGCAAGAGCAGGCGAGGGAGGGGCTTACTTGTGCATGGCAGCTGCTTCCTCCTCCACCAGCAGGTGCTGCTGCTTGAGTGCTGCTGCCTCTCGCGCTGCCATGTATGCATCCACCTGGGGAGCGCGCGGGGGAAAGGGAATTTGATGTGAAGGGTTTATCGGTCGTGAACGTGGAAGGGCGTAGCAGCAGAGGAACTTCTCCTCTGCTGCATGGGACCATTTGCTGCTGAATCAAGGGTTCAAGCATCAGAGGCTTAAGAATAGATTTCATTGCTAAAAGAAAGAACTCGAGAAGGGGAGCTGGCACGAAGGAAGATAAGAGGGTGGAAAGAAGCGGGACCCGGAGAGACGGCGTAAGCGAGAACGGTGTGGGAAAAAGCAGGGAACGCATGCAGAAGAAAATGCTTCACAGCATGTCACCAGGCATACACACTCACCAGCTTCTGTTCAAGCAGAAACGCAAGCGCAGCCACCAAGTCCTTATCATGCAGGCGCATCACTCTGATCCTCCCGCTGCTGCCACCGCCCGCGCCACCAACCCCACCACCACCACCGCCACCACTGCTGCTGCTGGGCGTGGCAGTGGGCTGGAAGACAAAGCGGTGCACGGCAGGGGACGTGCCCCCGTGCAGGAACGTGCTCTCACTGGCCGCATCCAGCATGGCGAAGAGATCCTCCTCTGATAACAGCTGCTTGTTCAACACCACCGCCTGGCGGGGTGGGGAAAGAGGAGGAGGAGGGGAAGCGGAGAGGGGAAACAGGGGGTGAGTGAGAGGGTGATGGGATGGAAAAAACACATGGGTGTATGACACACAGCACGTGAGAACGCCACGCAAGAATTTAGCTTCCAACTGCAGCATAGGCGCTCCGACTAGTTCTGGAATAATAAATAATGGTATGCATGTGTGGGTAGAGAGAGAAGGAGAGAGACGTACGACGAGGTCTGGGCCGAGCTTGAGGTAGGGTGGGAGTGGTGGTGCGATGGGCGAGACAAAGGGAAAGCGATGGTTGTCCACCAGAGAGGACAGACGGTCCACCAGTTGAATACCCTGTGTGCCGTGTACAACAGACCGGGCACAAGAAGACGAAGGGCAAAAGAAAACCCAGAGGGAGGGGGGTTTGAAGAGGGGAGAAAAAGGAGAATCGTAAGGAAGGTACGAGGGCAGACACTGCAGGAAAAGGTGAGAGCAGTTTAAGAGGAACGGCAGGGTAGCAGGGGATAACATGAGCGAGCATAGGGAGAGCATGGAAGGGAATAAGCATATGGGGTGAAAAAGAGGGTAGCAGCAGAGACGCACCTCCACAGAAAGGGCCTGCAGTGATATGTGGTCAAGAACTGCTGGCATTCCCAGCTGTACGAGCAACGACAGTGCACAGGAGAGAAGAAACAAGCTGACATGAGAACCAGGTGTGGACGATGGGATGCAAGAGGAACAACGGACCGGGCACTCAAAGCGAATTGGAGAGGGTTGAGTGGACTGGAGAGTTAAGTGGGACTGCCGTTACCTTGTTCAAGAAGAGAGCAAGGTCTCCTCGGATGCCCCTCAGGTCAACCTGGAGACACAACAGACGGTGCCATGTAACAGTAAGAAATAAGAAAAAGAGAACAAACAAGAAGCAGAAAACACTGAGCGCTTTCAAAAGTACACACCCTCAACCGACAACACGCACCTTGTCGGTGCGCAGCATCTTGCGGTGCACGCGAATGTGGCGGCGGTGGTTGAGCGGCGAGAAGAAGCGCAGGCTGCACTTGTCACACGCGTGCGTTGCTGTCCCCAGATGGGGCGGTGGGGGGAAGTGCAGACCCGACCGAGCTTGCAGGTTAAGCGGCCAGCCTGACAGAACCACGGGAGCCGAGAGATGGAGGTGGAACAGTTGTTTGGCAGTGAACAGCCGTCGCGTCAACAACGACAAGAGAGCCAGTGGGAAGGAAAATAAGTACATATTTATAAAATCCGCAAACACGAAGGAGCAGCTTCAAGAGGATGGCGGGGGTTAAAATAAGGGCGACAACAGAGGGGTCTGTTGCATGAGACAACGAAGGAGGGAGACGTGGGGGCCAGGATGACGAGAAAAGAGCGGTATCACTCACTGGTCTTGGCAGCAGCAGCAGCTTGAAGAGCAACAACTGCTGCGCGTGGGATCTGCCTGTCCACACGTCGATTATACACCCCAGCTGCTGACGCCGACGCCGAGGCCGACTGGCCAATAGCCGCATGCCCCGTGGGGTTGAGAGCAGAGGAGGAGGAGGCGGAAGAGGCGGAGGAGGGGGCATGGCGCACGAGGTCAGAGAGCGCCATGACTGAGTGCAGGTCCAGGTCGTCATATGCGCCCAGCTCCATCAGCTCATCCAGCCCTGATGCCCGCGCCGTTGCTGCTGCCACTGCTGATGCTGATGATAATGCTGATGACGCTGCTGCTCCTCGGGTTGCATATGACCGCGTGCTGGCGATGGTGGTGGTGGTGGTGGTGCTCGAGTAAGGGAGGTCGGTAGTGCTGGTGCTGGTGCTGCTGCTGGTGGTTGCTGGCGCGGGGATGGGGATGGGAAACGTTTTGCTAGTGCTTGGCCGCCCAGTTACCTTCATCCCACCGTTTGGTCTTAGATTAAGCGACGAGCCAGAGGAGGAGAATGTAGCATTGCCATAGGCAGACACAGGCCGAGCACCGCCGGCACCAGACACACACTCCACCACTGATTCCCCTACACCTTCACCCTCACCACCACTCCCACCACCACCACCACCACCACCTTGTGTTCCTGAGCTTTCCCGTTCAACCGGCCTATGCAACCCCTCTTTCTCTCCAGACCCCTGTGCCTCTGAAGATCCCTCCCTTTCCTCTAACGATCCAACTCTATCCGTAGCAGAAGCCACCTCCCGCGCCATCAGCTCCACATCGCCCCAGCGCTCCGCCAGCCGGGACTCCGCCAACGACCCTCCGCCACTTCCCCCCGCCCCTGTATCCGTCTTCTCATCCGCATTCCCCGCGCCAGACCCGCTCACTGCCGCCGACTGTTGCGGCTTCGCCGAGCTCTCCCCGTTGCTGAACGCCCACGAGTGCAGATCATCCTTGAATTCTGGATCCCCCGTCGCCCGCTCCTCGTATTTCCACGGCCGTCTTCTGCGCATCCCACCCTCTGTTCCCTCCCCTTCTCGCGCATCCGCACCTTCCCCATCTCCAACCCCAGTCCCCCGACCATCGCTACCAAGAAGATCACTCATATTCCCATTACCGCCTGACTGATCCAATTCCGGCACTCTTCTATCAGAGCCTTGACTAACAGCCGCCCTTCCCCACCAGCCACCTGCTGCCGCTGCTGCTGCGGCTGATGCTCTCTCGCGCACCCCGCTCGTGGGACCATTGGGGCTCAGGAGCGGCACGCGTGACTCCGCTTCCGCGTCCCACCGACTGCCGTCGTCCTCGCGAAGAACGACCATCTCTTGACCTTCCTCGGCTCCCTCCCCCGAACCCCTAAACCTCAAGGTCTCCCTAATGTTTTCCCTGCTGCAGCTATCCTCGCTGGCCGCTGCGATCTCTTCCCGCCTATCGGTGTCTTGCGCGCAGGGTGCGGAGGGAGCGGAGGGTGCGGCGGGTGCGGATGCTGCTGTTGCCCAGCTATCGTCGTCGCCTTCCTCCTCCCACCACCTGCGGTTCCACTCGTCTGATGTACCGCCCATGACACTGTATGATTACCCTTCGCCCCGGATCCGACCAGTGCTATTAGATTCGGACCTAATCACTGGGTTGGCCTGAAGTATGCACAAAGGGGTGAAGCAAAAACAGTCAATACGCAGACTCTGTGACACTTGCATAAAAATAGGAGGCAACGCAATCGAGTTACGTATACTGAATCCCTGACAAGGGGTCAAAGAGGCTCGTAAAGATTACAAACTCGTACGTGACGCTTACACGCAAGGATCAGGAGAACAAAATCACGATAGTAAAAAAGAATACTTCATGGGGTTTTGTGTGGAGATACAAGCGTTGGGCAAATGACTTGGTCAGAAGGCCAGATTCTCCACGAGTTGAAGGATTTGATGGTAGTAGCCTGATTGTCAAGCCTTTCAACTGCTGACAACTATGGTCGAACTATGGTCAGCGGCCATCACAACTTTTCACGGGAACGGGAAAGTTACGCGCGCGGAAGGATTTGAGTACTCGAAACTTACCAAGAACAAGACGTGATGGCGATCGGTCGGGAAGCGTCTGTATTCTCCATAGTGATAACCGCGCTTCGCATAGTGACCAGATCCAGGATGACAGAGGGACAATAACTAGAAGACGGAACCGAATCTTCGGAATAGGTACCTAGCCTGCTATAGTTACTGAAGGTTGCGTCTCAACACTTCAATCACGATAAGTAAGGAAAAGCCCTACCCAGATCTAACCACCCAGTACTTCAATACGCAACCTCATCAACCCAGCAATCGATAACCAACACAAGAAAGTAAAAGTTAACGTACCTAAAATCTGGCTGGAACCTGGAAACGAGGGGCGGGTGCGTCCTAAATCTGGCTTGACCAAACCAGCCAGCAAAAATCGATGGGCCTGGAGAGAATCCCAAGAAGTGACATAAATGGGTGAATGAAGGGAAGGATGGATGGATGGTGGTGGTGATCACTTCCGTGAGATGGCTACTCCTGAAACCTGACTTGATCGTACGGAAATGCAACACAGATGCTGTAGAACGCACAGTATCGTATTTGACCGCGTGAACGTGAACTTGAGCGACAGCGGCTATGGAGCGACCAAGTACACGTACATACAGGTTCCTCTTGTGTACTGTACACTACTGTGTTTCCGAATGTGCTGGTCCGCCTGACCAACCTCGTTGTAGAATGGGGAATGAACGGGGGCTGGATTGGAGGAGCCCGGGACACCTGGCCTCGGGAATGTCACCAAGCTGAGTGAAATCTTCGAGACACATCCTCCCGCTATAGGAACAGCCTCGAGCGTACATGCGGACCCTCCACCACCGAAATCCAGGAAAAGAGAACCTGCGTTTGTGGCAACTTCGCTATAATGTGAAAGATCCTTCACACTTCCAGACACCTTCTTTTATCAGCTCAAACTCATAAGACTTTTATCTGTCTTTTTTACAGTCCCAGGTAACTGCTTCATTGATTCGCATCCTCTTCCAGACGATTTTATTTGTCGAGGAAACTGGTGACGAGTATCGCCGTTTAGCGTCACATTCATGCATGTCTCACCACCACACTGCACCTCATAGTGCCACCTCATACCTCTCGTTTCATTTCACTTTGTTTTCAGCTTCTCTCCCTCTCCCATCATTCATTGTGCAACTGCGGTGTGCGCTGCACTCAAACCAAAGCACACACGCCACGTGGAGCTGTCTTGGCAGCCATATCCACTTCCCTCGCTCCGAAGCCAAGAAGAGAGATCCTTCGCCATGGCGGTCGCATCGCATTCGATCTCGCATATAGCTGGCCTAAGCGTGCCGCCGTCAGTACAATCCAAGCAACCACGACATCCAGTGCGAGCCAGAGCCGGACCGATCCGTCCCTCCACTCGTGCTTCTGCCGAGTTAAACGCATCGCGTCTGCCGCTTCTTTTTAAAGCCCCCGCCTTGCAGTCGTCCTCCCTGGCTGGCGCGCACCGCCGATCGCGGTCGCGCTCGCGCAAAGGAGTATCTTCCCGCGCTCTGCCCGTCGCAGCGGCAGCAGCGGCGACCGCGGCCGCGGAGACGAAGGAGCAGCTCGAAGCCAAAGCGGAGCGCTTCTGGAAATGGCTGGTGGATCAAGGGGTTGGCGACAAGGATTTACCGGCTGCCGTCAAGCCGGCAGTTTTGACGGCGGCTGACGGCCAGCCGCGACTAGCGCTCGTGGCCGACCGGGACATCCGGTCGGGTGACGATTTGTTGCTGGTGCCGCTAAGCGCGTGCTTGACCCTGGACAAGGTTCTTAGGACCGACATTGGCGCCGTGTGCGGCGACGTCAGGTACGAGCGAACCGTCAATAGCAGCCGTATTTACCATCGCGTCGAACTTCAAACCATGTCAAAGCTTCTCCTTGTCGTGTCTGCTCGATCCAGTGCAATCCACTAAGCGCCTTCGTGCAACCCATGAGACGTGCTCTGCAGCTCTGCCCATGGCGCTCACATGCTCAAAGCCCTCCATTTTCCGCCCTTGATTTTTTCATGCCCCTTTCCCCCACTTTGCTATCTCCTGCACTTCATTCCCTTCCATTCCCTGTTGCTCCTTCCCTCCTCTCCACCTTCTCTCCGTCTCCCACCGCATCTTCCCCCTTCCCCCCTTGCTCCTTCTCCGCGCGAGCAGGCCGTGGGTGGCGCTGGCGCTGTTCATCATCCGCGAGCGCGGGAACCCCACGTCCGAGTGGGCGCCGTACCTCGACACGCTCCCCGCCACGCTCAACTCGCCGCTCCTCTGGTACTGCACTGCTGCCACCCCGCCGCCCTGCCCTGCCCTGCCCTGCCCTGCCCTGCCCTGCCCTGCCCTGCCCTGTCCTCCTGCATTCCCTCATGTCTCACCTCTAATCTAACTCGACTTGAAAGCCACCATGCTTGCATTCATCTGCTCTTTCTTCATTCTCTCTCTGTTCCTCCCTTTCTGCTCATCGTGCTGTGCTGCTTCTCGTTCTCTCCCCATTCTCGCCTGCAGGTCCGAAGAGGAGCTCAAGATGCTGGAAGGTACTTCCCTCTCTTTTTCCCCCCTCCAGCCAACCACTACATCCTAGCTAACCACATGTCCGTCCTTAGCTTTCTCTCCCTCTCTCCCTTGTCGGTTGTCATGACCATGCATGCCCTTGTCACCTCCTCCTCCTCCTGCACCTCTTTCTCTCCTCTGAATTCCTTTTGCCTCTCCCGCCTTCCTCCTGCGAGCTCCTCACCCCATTTAACCCTGCCCCATGCAACCCCACCCCACCCCATTCACCCGCATCGCACTTACTTTGCAGATCACCCACCCAGCATTGGGGTGACGTCATCCACAGCTCATTGCCCCCATCCAACCTAACCCTGCGCTTCTCCCCTCGCCCAACTCCCCCTTGCTCCACCCGCTGCTCTCCCGTGCGCTCCCCTCCCCCCCCCACACTCCCCTCAGCACTTTCCCCCGCGCTCTCCCCCCCGCCAGTTACGCAGGTGTTGGCGCTGCAGCAGCAGTACGCGGAGTACATAGCCGCGGAGCACCAGGCCGCGCTGGACGCCATCGTGCTGCCCAACCCCGCGCTCTTCCTCCTAATGCGATCCCCCATCCCCCGCACTCCCCCACGCTCCCCACCACGCATTCCCCCTTGCACTACCCCCCCCCCCCCCCCCCGCACTCCTGTCCACGCTTCCCCCTGTCCCCGCCTCTGCACCCGCCCTCGCGCCCGCCCCCGCCCCCTCCCCCAAACACTCCCTTCTCCCCCACCTCCGCCAGGCACGCAGGTGTTGGCGCTGCAGCAGCAGTACGCGGAGTACATAGCCGCGGAGCACCAGGCCGCGCTGGACGCCGTCGTGCTGCCCAACCCCGCGCTCTTCCCCGACCCCTCGCGCTTCTCCCTCGCTGCCTTCACCTGGGCCTTCGCCCTCCTGCGCGCGCGCTCCTTCCCGCCCTTCTCCCGCGACGATGTCGCCCTCGTGCCGCTGCTCGACCTGGTGAGTCACCTCCTGTGATTGCATTGCACTCTCTCTGGGAAAGGAGGGTGTTGGGTTGGGGGGGGGGGGAGGAGGAGGCGCTCCTTCCTAACCTTCTCCCGCGACGACGTCGCACTCGTTCCGCTTCTCGACCTGGTGAGCGGGATATGTGATTGCCCCCCTTCGTGGCGCACGGGGAAGGGGAAGGAAGTGGGGGGGGGGGAAGGTGCGGGGAAGGGGGGGGGTGTGGGTGGTTGAAAGGGGAGGGGAGCAGAGGAGCGAAAGTGAGGGTACTAGACAGGAAAAGGCGAGGGTTTTCTCGGAGGTGTTTCACAGATTCACTGTGCCGTGCGTTCCGAGAATATTTTTGAACAGTCTCGTCTTCTCTCTCCCACAGGTGTCGCACAGCACGGAGTCCCCCGACCCGAGGGCAAGTGGAAGGCGAGGGCGGTGGGCCAGGGTGTTTTTCTTGAGCCACCTCTGCACGTGTGTGTGTTTGAGCTCCTCAAAACGCATGCCACTCCGCCCGTTCCCTCCCCGCAATAACCCACAGGTGTCGCACAGCACGGAGTCCCCCGAGGGCAAGTGGCAGGCGAGGGCGGTGGGCGGAGGGCTCTTCTCTGCTGGCAAGGACGTGGTCACCGGCCCTGCAGGGCGCTCGTTCCACAAGGGGCAGCTGGTGAGACCACATACACACACACACACACACACACACACACACACACACACACACACACACACACACACACACACACGCACACGCACCCAACACCTTACAGCCCACACCCGCTCTCCGCTCCCTCCTTCCCACTCATCAATACGGTGCTGCCTAAGGTGCCGCAGGAGCGTATAAGCCCCTTGCCTCTGCTCTGTTCAATGCCCTGTCGCTCCCCCCTGTCTGTCCCTCCACCCCCGCATTGCCCCTCTCCCTCCCTCCAATTCGTCGCCCCTCAGCTTTCCATTCCATCTGAACCAGACTACATCTCTTCGGGTGACTTTTGAGTCGACTCAAAAGTCACCTCCATTCCATCTGAACCAGACTACATCTCTTCAGGCGCCACAAGTAATCTCCTTCCCTCCCTTCCTGCAACTCACTCCTTCGCCTTTCTGATTTCCACTCCCCCCGTTTGCCCTTCTGAGGCTCAGATCACAGTGAACTTTGGCAAGAGCAAGTCCAACGCACAGCTAGCCATAGACCACGGCATCGTAGACCCCCCCACCATCACCCCCGCCTCCTCCTCCCCCGCCTCCTCCTCCTCCTCCTCGCAAGCCCCGCAGCAGGAGCAGCAGAAATCGGGCGCGCTGGGCGCAATCGTAAACACGGTCGCGAGCGGCGTGAACAACGTCACCAGCATGGTCTCCGTCGGGAAAGCCGTGGCCGCAGTGGAAGCAGCGAAGGTCGCCGCGAAGGCCGCAGCTGCCGCCGCCGCCACCGGCGCGGGCAACCGCGACGCGTTCTCGCTCACGCTAGAGATTGCAGAATCCGACCGGTTTTTTTATGACAAGGCGGATATAGCGGAGCAGAGTGGGCTAGAGGCGGTGGCTGATTTCGACATTGTGGCGGGGCAGGGTGTCCCTGATGAGATGGTGGCGTTTCTCAGGCTTGTTGCGCTTGGTGGGGCCGATGCTTTTCTTCTGGAGGTGAGACTGGGAGGGGGGGAGAGGGGGAAAGGAGGGAGGGGGGAGGGGAGGAGGAGGAGCAGAGGCAGATGGTACTGTGTGTTGACAACGTGGTGTTTGGCAGGTTTCCTGGATTGTACAAAAAGGTGGACAAAGCCGGTGTACAGGGAGAATGGAGAGTGTATACAAGTAGAAGGTATACATTCTCCCCCGGTGTATACAGGGGGCTGGCATCATGCTGGATGGATGGTACTAGACTAGAAAGACCTTTATCTCGGCATTATGCCTTCCTTAGCTTAACATTCCTTAGCTTAACATTCCTTAGCTTAACATTCCTTAGCTCGGCCATTCAGCTCTCTCTCTCTCTCTCTCTCTCTCTCTCTCTCTCTCTCTCTCTCTCTCTCTCTCTCTCTCTCTCTCTCTCTCTCTCTCGCTTCCACCTCTTCTGCGTGATCCCCCTTTCCCCTATTCTCCCACGGTACGGCGCTGTTCCGCAACAGTGTGCGGGAGCACCTGCTGAACCCTGTGAGCCGTGAGAACGAAGAAGGAAAAGCTCACGGGCTGGGGACAAAGTATTGACCTCGTATCCCCGCCCTCCCATTTCCTCCCGTGCCTTCCGCATCACGGCGTACAGGCGCTGTTCCGCAACAGTGTGTGGGATCACCTGCTGAACCCGGTGAGCCGGGAGAACGAGGAGGCGGTGTGCGTGGGCATCGTGGACTCGTGCGCTGCTGCGCTTGCTGCCTACCCCACCACATATGAAGAGGTGAGTGAGTGAGCGGCACATAAGAGCAGGCGAGAGGCGCAGCGCATAACAAAACAAGTGTTTTGAGACGTCTCAAAGCACTTCTTTTACCACATACGACCAGGTGAGTGAGCGAGCGAGCGGCACATAGAGCAGGTGAGAGGCGCATACGGCCAGGGCGGAGAGCATCCATTCACTCATGTTTGCAGGTTGACTTGCTGTGCTGTGCCCCAACGGTTGCACGTACTGTGGTTACCCCTCTCTTCTGCCCAGTGCTCTTTCTTCAAAGGAGCAGACCAATGCTCCTGGCACTGGTGCGCTTGCTTTGAGACGTCACAACAATTTCATCTTTCCTCTTTTCTTTCCGCCAATTCCCCCCTTCTCATCTGTCCCTTCCTTCCCTCCTCTCCATTCGATCCCTCTTTCCCTGCTTTGCCCCCCCTGTCCTTCCTCTCTCTCCCCTTCAGGACGTGGCCCTCCTCCCCACGCTAGCAGAGGGCAGCAAGGAGCAGGTGGCAGTGGTGGTGCGCATGGGGGAGAAAGCGGCTCTCGGTGAGCTGCAGTCATGGGCGGTGCGGCGCATGCGCGCCCTGGACTCCCTGCTCTACTACGCGGAGCGCCGCCTGTCGGACCTGGGCCTGCTGGACGACACCGGCAACATGACGCCCTGGGTGGGCGTCGAGTAAGCTTCTCGAGCCGCCTCTCGAACCTCGCCGCCTCTCGGACAGACCTGGGTGGGCTGGCTGGCCGGGACACTACGGCACTGGCAATATGACTCCCTGGGTGGCCGTCGAGTGCGAGATAGTGGGGGGGTGATGTTGTGACATGAGAGACGAGCTTTGAGGCGCCCCGACATTCAGAACTCGTCTCGGCTCCTGCTGCATGGCACCGCCGTCCACATGACGCGCTGGGTGGGTGGGTGGGTGGGTGGGCGTCAGTGAGCTTGGCCTGGCTTGCACCACGGGCGTATGGGCTAATGGCACATGGGCGGGAGTAGGGGAGGGTGGGAGGGGGGTCTGTGTCCCAGTGGTAACCAGGAGCTGGGAGGGAAGTGGGCAGGAAGCTGGAATGCAGTGGGAGGTCCTCGGCTTGGGTGGGAGGACCTAGAAGTTGACTTGGTTGGAGCTCGTTTGGGCTGGGTTGGGAGAGCGTGGGGTGGGTACTATGAGAAGCACAGGAAGGAGATTTGGGGGCGAGTCGTGGTTGCCATGAGCCACTGCAACTCCCCTGGAAACCCCTGCTGTGCCCGCACTGATACCTATGTGCTGTGCTGTTTTTTGTAGGATGGCATGAGGCAGTGATTGCCATGTCATATGATGCACCATGTTAGAGATGAATCACGTACTTAATACTATACCAACCTGCCGGTCTATGAGCTTGTGAATTTATATGTAGGGTAACAACACTTCATGCGGGTAAATCCAGTTGAATGCTGTTTTTTTATCTGTCTAAGTATCTCCTTTCAGTAGGAATTGTACAGGCTCCGAACTGTAAATATTGCGCGTCAGGTAGTAAGGGACAAAATCGCGCGGATGAGGTCCAGGCCAGGCAGCTACATGTAAAAGTTATTGTCTTAGGGTATTGTATGCTTCCATCTTTATTACACTAACAATCATCTTTAATTCGATCTGGAAACTGCATCGCGTTTAATCCTACCTGATACTGAGTAGCTTCCACCAGTCTTACTGCAGAATACATGTCCTAATTCAGCAGCAGAACACACGCAATGGTATGAACAGAATGAATGGTTAATAATTTGATACATCAGTAGTTACTCCCTATCTAACCAGGCAGCATGCGCCTTTATTAGTGGCCCTTCCCTGGAGGGCCAATGGATTAGGGGATCAGCAAGAGCACCTAGGTATTGTCACTTCAGCTCCAACCATCAAGCCATCAGGCTTGGCTGGTCACATCATCTGACAGCCCTGCAACACCAGCCATGGTGAAAGCATGGCATCCGGTCCAAGTGGTCGTGGTCTTCACGCCGCCGCCGCACAGACACTGCCCTGCGCACATTCCCGCCAATCCATCAGCCTTCCCTCCAAACAGGCTCCCCATGCATTCGCCAATCTCCGCCCCCGCAAACCACTCCAACTCTCCCCTCAATTCTTCTTCCATACCCCCTGCTCCAAGCACACCACTAGCTGCCGCCTCTGCTTGTGCCTCCACCGCCCCTGCCCCCACTGCTACCTGCACCAGGTCCATTGAGCCAATCACGCCAATCGACCCAATCGCGTCAATGGGATCAATAACGTTGTTCACAACGTCTGCAGGGTCGATTGCGTCTGCGGCGTCAGCCAGAGCGCGCTCTCTGCACGCTACCACCTCCCACAGGCCCCTCGCCGCCTTGGACACCGGCGGAACCGCCTCCGCTATTCCCAGCTCGCGCGCGCGCTTTGTCCCCGCGCTCTGCGGCGACTCGCCCGCGGACTTCGCGACCGCCACTGCCACCATTGCCGACATTGCCGCGAGTTCGCGCCCAACGGCGGCGCCGCCTTCAAAAATCCCCGCATCTGGGCCTTGTCGTCCCTCCTCAACCACTTCCACTTCGATTTTCCCCGCGTCCTCCGCAACGCCTCTCGCTTCCTCCCAGCCACCTATTAGAGGTGTTTCCAGGGAATGCTTAAACACTGCGAAGGGTCCACGCGGGCAGACCATCTCGCCCGCCTTAAGCGCCACTTCTCCGTCGCTTCCTGCAGGTCTCGCGCTACCCTGATGCTCCTCCTCCTGCTGCAAGCGCTTCTGCTGCTGCTGCTCCGCAGCCCGCCGCCGCATCATCACCCGCGCCACGGCCGCCTTTGCGCCGCGAGACATGGGTCGGTGCGGCACGGAAGGGCCTCCCGCTAGCCCCGGAAGCGCGCGGATCGTCTCGAGAACGGCCAGCGGGGTTACCTCCTGCACGTGCTCCGCGCCAATGCCGCAGCTCACTGCAGGCGGAAGCGCGCAGAGACCAAGATCTCCGCCGGCGGCGCCGCTGAATCCGCGAAAAGGCCCCTCCGCAGCCGCGGAGACATGAGCGGGGAAGAGGTGATCCACCGGGCCGCAGTCCACGCCGTAGAGGACGCTGCCGCCGCAGCCGCCGCCGTCGCCGCGGAAACAAAACGACTCTAGCGGTTGCGACCACGACTCGACTCGTGATTCAGGGTTCTCCCTCCTCTCTTGTGCGAAGAATGTGGCGTGCTGACTGTAGTCAAGGACGGACTGCTGACTGTAGTCCACGCTGGCAGCGTTGGCCGCAGAAGGTGCAGTGCCAGCGTTGACAGCATTGGCAACTGTGGCACAAGTGACGTGCGCAGGTACAATCGAATCACAGGGATCGTCGCTCTCCGCCACCTCCTCGTGAAGGCATGGCGGGAGGAGACGAGGCTGCTGCTGCTGCTGCTGTTTTGTGGGCTCTGCGTGCCAGACATGCGGACCGAGAGAAGGGGCGCATAGGGAAGACGACGCCATGGCGTTGGAAGAGGAGGAGACGCCGCGACGACCGCTGCGCTTCGAGGGCATGTGGTGTGTGATAAGTACACGAGGTGGATAATCCCCCGCGAGGCGATTCGTGTCCACCAGGTAAATGCTTTCCATGTGGATTTGTAGAGTTCGATTGGGCAAGCGAGGTTAGTGAGAGAAAGAGTATTGCAGAACTGATGAGCGTCGAGCTTGGTGCTGCTAAGGACGGATATTCGTAGCACTGGAGGGAAGCAGACTGAAAGACAGAAAGTTATTGTGCAAGCGAAGCTCAGTGGCTCGTATGTGTAACTCGGCAGTTAGGTAGAGCAAGAGGGGGCATCGCAGTGCTCTGTTGACGAGGAACCCAGCGGTACCTTGGACGCGTGGAGCGCTTGGATCCAGCCCAACACGACATAGCACAATCCCGTCTGTGGCAGCCAGGGGCGCAAATAATGCAAGAGTTGAAAGTGCGAGAAATGCGCGCGAGGGGTGGTTGGCGGACCCAGTCGCTACGATCCCGCAGAGCGAGATGCGTGGAATCAGTAGAAGCGGATGGAGAAGCACAAGACACATATAATAGAGGTCGCAGCACCTGACAAGCTTGCATGGGCCATGGTTTGCTGGTGTATGGTGCGGAGATGTTTGTGGAGGATGTGGTGCAGTATAGCTGGACCTTCGGGGTTGTTCTCGTGGTGGTTGGAGGTGAATGGAGGGTGTCGTTCTAGTGGTGGTTGCACTGTGTTCGACTCGATGAGTTGCGAGCGAATTCTGGGCCTTGAGGCGACTTGGAGGGAAAAGGAACAGAGGGTGGAGGCGGGAATGCCAATAATTTCCTAACTTCCTGGGCTGTATTTGGCGCGGTGGCTGTCACAACGAAGTTGGTGCAGACTTCTGTCAGTTGGCGAGTGGTGGGGTGACGTGTCGCGGTTGCTGAATGACCCCGATTCGTTGGCTTGTCTGCCCAGTTCTGTGAGGGGCTGTCTGTGTGGTTGAAATGAAACTCAGCTCTGTGGCCAGGAGTCTGCCATGCCATGAGCAGAGCGACTCGGATCGAGAAGGCAACAACGACATGCCGCGCATTGTAGCTGTGACGATGTCACGGGCGTCCAACATCGTGAAATTTCTCTACAAAGTCATGACTTCATGAGCGTTTAAGAACGGCTCATTTATGTAATGATATGTTTCAGTAAGTTACAGTACGCTGCAGAGTGATGACGGTCTGGACTTTTTCAACTACTCCAGTATGTTTGAAGGATAAGCAGCATTGTTGTGCTCGTTGAAAGTTTTCATCGCCGTGCATTGCGGTGAAGACAGATCCATTCGCGAGAAAAGCGAGGATTTTGAGACCTGCTTTGTCAAGCCAATGTTAAAACCCCTATTCTTCTCGTTAGTTTGGTTAGACCTTGAATGTCTGAAGACAGGCCAGGTCAGAAGTCCTAGAGGATTCAAGATTAGATTAGGGGCTATAAGTCCAAGATCCAAGAAAGTCGTAAGTACAGGGTAACATAAGCGTTTCTTCGTCGCAATTCATTCCAAGAGGGCGCCTCGTGAACTGGAAGTGGACTTGAGCCAAAACGCGCATTATTGGTGGTTGGTGGAACTATTGTGAGGAACTGTTCAGGAGTCAAGTATTTTCCCGGGTGATGCACACGGACTTCTGGTGGGGAGAACTTTTTTTGTTTCAAACATTTCGATACTTTGTTCTAGATTCTTGCTCAGTTTCCTGCGACGACACCCAAGAGTTTGCGAGTTGTAGTACAGCAATGTAGTAAAACGGAAATGGAAAAATGCTTCTATGTGGGGTATTCGACTCGATACGACCCAACAGGGGCAGCATGGGGTAACAAAGAAAGTCAACCGAGTCGTAGGCAACACAATTATCGTATCGCCTCGTGGTTTCCAGATTCTGCTTTGAGGGTTTTGTTGCCAGGATAATGCCCTTGGCTGTTCGCTCGCACCATCACCATCCTTGATATAATCACCAAGAAAATCAATTACAGACACACATAAAAAAACATCAAACTACCATAGCTTACACACTCTCGTTTGAGCAAGCGAGAGAACTGACTACTATTGAGGCAACGAATATGTGAGGTGAAAAATAAGCTACCAAAATAAGGTAGTGGTACTGCTAGATTCTGGGGTGGCTGCAGTGAGGTTTGGAAATAATATAGACATAGAATATGTCGCAATGGCAACGGATGGGCAACCCTGCGATGTGGTAATCTTATTATGTCGCTTCTGAAATGAGAAAGTATGTGGCGTAATTGAATAACTTTGATATGTAAATACCGTACTACTTAACCCTTCAAGAAAGTACACATGTTCTTGTCCGCCTTATCTGCGACCGACGTTGGCACAAGGACCAAGACCATCTCCCCCTCTCTTTCCCGCTACACCTCTAACTACTTTAAGCGTGACAATTATGCAGAAAAGCTCCGTGTTGTTACGATCAGTAGCCATGAGGCGCGCATAGTAAGGCCCCTGAAGACAGCACGCATGGGATCGACCAGACATGAGGGTGGAGCAACGGCGGAGATTGAGAACAGCCAAGGGTTGGATGGCGAACACGCGATAGGGATAGAAAACAAGGCAGGGAGACAGCCGAGTACAGGGAATTGTAATGGGTGTGCTTACAGGGAATGCAAGGATGGGGACGTTCCGCCAGTATTGGAAGGTGAAGCTCCCAGGGAGCACTGGACACGCTGTCTGCTGGCAAATGTCCGTGTACTCAACATGTACGGGCAGCCCATGAAACTTTATTGTCACTGCCACCTCCCCCCCTGATATCATCTGCCCTGGTCATGCGGAGAGGGTTGAGATAGATGGATGGAAGGAGGAAGAGAGGGCAGGAAGGAGTGAGTGAGGGAAGGAGGGAAGGAGGGAGGGAGAGAGGGAGAGAGGGAGGGAGAGAGGGAGAGAGGGAGAGGGAGGGAGGGAGGGAGGGAGGGAGGGAGGGAGGGAGGGAGGGAGGGAGAGGGAGAGGGAGGGAGGGATGGAGAGAGGGAGGGAGCACCAAGCAGCATCAGCTGCAGGACCTGTAGCGCCAACACACTCGTTGAATGGTGGATGTGGTATGCAATTGTGAACCCAGAGCCCACCGACGAAACCGCAAGTAAAAGAGAAGCACATGCAAACAGGAAAGACCGAGCGGAGCTAACTAACTGGTGGTGCACTGCACTGCTAGTGCAAAGAATTCAAGGGACGCGGCTCACTGGCGACTGCAGGCAGCTGCAGCTCAAACGGATGGCCGATGACCGGAGGGTCCGGCGCCATGAACACGTCCCGCACCTCCACTGCTGGCTCATGCGCTGCCATGGGTGCACGGCAGCACCAAGTGTAATGGGAGATGGAGAGAAGGAAGGAGATTGAAACACACCAGATTTGTTGCATTGTTAACTGACAAAGCATTGGCAGGATGATCAAAGTGTATACAAATACAACGGTAGGTGGGGGTCTTGAGTGGCTGGATCAGTAAGCCTGCACAGATTAGTAGTTACAATTTATATGGTAATCAGGTTACTGAACTTATGAAGTGAAAGTGGGGAGCCGGGCGTGAAATCATGTCCGAGGAGGGATGGGAAAGTAGGTGTGCTAGAAGGGAACCAGAGACCATCCATTCGAGGAAAGAGAAATGCAATGGGTGGCTATGGAAGGCATGGGTGGCCATGGGAGGCCATGGGAGGCCATGGGTGGTGCGACGTACAGCAATCCTCCCACTCCGTCCGACGTGGACTCCCGATTGACTCCGGGCCCCGCACCATCTCCCCGCTACTTGCAGTGCCGCGGCCCGCTGCGTCCCTTACAGTCCGCACTAAAGGCCTCTCTAAACCGAAGACTGGATTCTCGTCGCCTGTCGGCGCCGACCTAGTCGTTGTTACCCCGAGTCGGGTGTCCTTCACGGTAGTCGCAGCAGCACTCGCGGCGCGCGGACCGCGCGCCGACATAAGCGGCAGCAGCAGCATCGGTGCGAGGAGGAGAATAACCAGCGACGACGGGGCGGCACTCCCTGCGGTCAATCGTACGGCGCGGGATGGCTGAGAAAGTGATCGGCGCTTTACTAGGGAGTAATCCTGATCGCCTGGATGTCTTGCGGGAGAAGAAGCTGGGTTCGAAAGGGACCACGACATGACCGGCGGTTGAAGGAGGGTTGAGGAAGAAACGATTAAGCGCATGGAGGAGAACGGGGGCGGTGTGGGGAATGGAGAATCCCTATGCGCTCTCCAAAACGCTGAAGCGGAAACCTTCAGTAGTTTATGTAACAGGGGCGAGAACACTCGCAGGAGCGATGAGTGACGATGGACAAGGATGAACCGCCGGACGGTTGATTTGGTCGCTCCGGTTCAAGTAGCGGCAACAGGCACGTAGACAAAGTACTTAAGTTTTTCCACGGGAACTACGCCTGAACCAGCCAGGAGGTTTGTCCCGAGAGAGTGGCAGTGCAGGGAGGAAGGGATATCATAGGCCGAAGTCGATTATCCAGCAAGGGACCACGATAATCCTATCCTAAGGGCGAATTGAGCTTCCAAGCGAATTGGCGGGGGATTCAGGGAGAGAGGGAGGGGAGGAGAGTAATGCATTCCCACCCACACGCTCGCAGGCGGCACGGCAGAGCCAGAAAAGCAGAGAGATGCCCTCACACACAATTGCGTGACGTCAGGCTGACGCATTTCGCGCAGGGGGAGTTGATCCGCGAGCGAGGCATATGTGCGTGGCGTGCTCTGATTTGTCAATAAAGAAGTGAAATGCATGACGCGACAATCCATCACAGGAACTGTATTAGGTGCTCTTGTTGAGAGTTCCGGTGAATATGTAGGCTCACTTCTGCACCATATGCTTGGTAAACATGTACTTTATCACAGCTAGCATGAAAAGAACACAATTGACATGGCTAGCATACAAAGATTTATTGGTTCCTACTACAAAAGATGCTGTACAGTCTTCAAAGAAGGAAGAAAGTAAAGAGACCGCGACATACTCCTATGTCGCATTGGAGTAGCACTCCATCCCGTACAAACGGTGCATAATCCGCTAGTGCTTGTCTTGATTGAGACAAGGGTTGCAAGGAGCGAGGCCAAGTTGTGGACGTTGGGGAAAAGGTCCCACAGTGCAAAAAAGGTAAGGCAAGAGCATCATCTAGCTAGTGTGCGAGTTGCAACAAGCCAGCCCATGTACAGTAGTAGCGTGACGAGGCTGCCGTACGGCTGTCACGTTGCAGCATGGTCGAATCTCTTCAAGACGGCTTCGCTCATCTCGTGCGCCTTCTTGGAGATGCACGCGCCGCCATCCTTGAGCGCCTTCGACGGGCCCTCCATGACATTCTGCCCAGAGAGTCAGGATCGTGGGAAACAGGTGGTTAGCGAGAACGGTTATTAGTCGCGTAAGGAGAGGGAGGGAGAAAAGGGACAACGGCACAGCAAACAGGAAGCGGAGGGGGACAGCAGTTGAAAAGAGTGCGGGGAGTTTGATAGTTTCACTAACCGAAATCGAGGAGACTGCAGCTTCCCAAGCGTCTTCAATCATAGGGTCTACGTCGACGTGAAATCCTGCTCTGTGGTGCGTCTGTCGCATCGGGCAATTCTCCGAGTGGGCCGACCCAACGCAGTCTGAAGTGGTATGGCAGGTCGTTCCAGGACCTCTCAAAAATGGCGACTTCGCGGCGGCTGCTACAACGTGCGGAACGGTCTTTGGAGTAAGCGGATGGAGCGGAGTGAGCGTCATGGAGCAAGTTGGAAACGAAGCCCTATATCGTATTGGACCAGGGTTATATCTGACTTCACTAAACAAAGAGCAGCCACAGTTTGCAGTGTGGAGGTTCTGCTAGTAGCGGTCGTGCTATCAGCAATTAGAGATGAAGGCATGCGAGAAGCGAGAATGGGATTGTAGAAGAGAGCATGCAGGAGCTTCAAGTTTCTCCTCCCCGCCCCACCATCTCCTCCCCGTCCCCACCTCTCGCAGCGGGTCGCAGGAGGAAACAAACCACCTGAGACGACACGCGACGAGACGATGCGATGAGTCTTGGCGGCGGCATGGCTAACCAAACCATCAGGTATGGTTTGCGCCTTGTACTGTACAGTAATGGGAGCTCCCAAACCACATTTGGTTGGGCAAGCGTGACGAGTCACGCGTCACTAGACCTGGGTCAAGCGAGATTCGTGGAGCAGAGCGATGGATGGGGACGGCTGTTGTGTTGTGTATGGTCAGGAGCAGAGACGGAGCGCGCTGACTCTAAAAGTTCACAATAATGACGTGGCGTTATAGCCAAAAGGTCAGATTGGGACTGCCCAGGCAGGCTTTCTAGATGGTCGGGCAGGTTCAATAGGTAAGACAGCGAATCCTAAGCCAGAACTTCGGTGTTCAACATGTGCTGGAACGGGATTTGCGGAAGCTTTTCACTGCTGGCATAACACGCCTGTGATGTATCGCCACGCTGTGCGATGAAACCGTCCACATCTCCCACGCGCTAACCACGCATTCAAGCCGAAAGTGCTCTGCCCTTGTTCAAATATCCAGAAGAACTTGAATGGGTATGCTTCTGAAGTAGATTGAAAAATGGAAACACATATAGCAATTGCTCGTGAAAAATAACAATGACTGCACTATTTAATTAATTACCAGAACTACCTGGTTGGATCCTGCCCTAGATGTATTGTTCACATTCAATCATTCCTAGCATCGTGCGATTCCATGTAACAAGATAATAAGAACAAGCTACCACCTCACGCCGGGAGACTTTTGGGGGAGCCATCCTTTCTCTCTGCTCTTGACGAAGCTCCAGTGCTCGTAACCTGCTCAATGAATGTGGCAGAGGAGAGGAATCAACTTAACTACACATTGCAGTGGAGTAAAAAAAAAAAACAAGCACGCCACTCCATTTCCATCAACAACCTGCGCCCTGTCAGGACACTCTGAACTTCCCTCACTTCCTCTCATCCCTCTGTCTCGCTCATCTTCCCCTAAACCCCTGCCTTCCCCAGATCGTACCGAGCGAGATATTATGTTTGAGCAACCAGAAGAACCATCCGGCCTGTGCGGTGGCAAAGGCCTGCAGCTGCGCCTTGCCGAAGGCCGCCTGGTAGCTGTCGTCAGGATGCGCCATGGCATTGGAGAACTCTCCCACCAGCACTGGCCGCCCAAACTGCACCGGGGGTAGGCACCAGCAGCACGCGTGGGGTCATGACGGAAGGGGAAGGGTTCTTGCGCGCTCACCTGCTGGTAGTCCCTGAGCTTGGCGGGCATGGTGGTGTGCGTGTACTCCACCTCCTGCGCGGCCGTCATCTTCTTGTTGTTCACCAGCTCGGGATTGAACACATTGTACAGGTGCGACTCGAGGATCACGTTCGTGTGGATGTTGTCGTACAGGTGCCAGTGCACCTCCCATATGTTGGATCCTATGCGCCCCTCCATGGACATGAACGCGCACTTGGCGCCCTTGCGCAGCGCCTTGTACCCCGGCGCCTAGTACTTCTTCAGCAGCGGCAGCGACACGCCGGATTGGACTCCATACGCCCACGGCGCCGCTGGCTCGTTCACCAAGCCGATCCCGAGGAACTCGAGTTTTCCTCCGTACCGCTTCCCGAGCCACTCCACAAGCTGGAGCGACTTCTGGTAGTTGGCTTCCCGAGCCACTCTAGAGCGTGAGCGAATCCCTCGACCCGTACGTGCCGCTCTGCGTCCCGGGGAGCACGTGCAGGGACAGCCAGATGCAGAGGGGGGAGGGGTGGAGAGGAGAGGAGACGATGATGTCGTGAATCTTCCTCTGTCCACCCTCATTCCCTTTCTCCCCTGAGTATCCTGCTGACTTCTCCTTCTCTCCTTCCTTCCCTGCCACCCGTACTGCTGATCAGGTTCATCCCTTCTTCCTCCTGGCGTATGTAATCACTCTGTCCTGCACTCCTCCTGGTACCTCAGGCTTCCCTGCCCCCTCCCGTGTCTCAGCACCCATCTTTGCCGCTTGAGTCACGGGACCCACTGCCTGAGGCTTCCCTTGTCCCGCCCTGGCCACGTTGGTGATGTGTTCCTTGATGATTCCCCCTCGAATATCTTCCAGCACTAACACTCCCGAGCCTCGTATCTCTTTCACCTTCCATCGCTCCGATCCCACCGCTAAGTCCAGCGTGTCGCGCTTAGCTTTGCGAAGGTATACCTTCTGCCCTGCCTCCACCTTATCACCCTTTCCCCCTATCCCTGATGCTTTACGCTGCTGGTATCGTCTTGCGTCACGCAGCTGCGCCACATGGAGGTTATCCAGAGCTGCCGGAGTCAGCTCCTTCAAATACTTTGCTCTCCTCTGGGCTAACTCCACCCACATGTTTGGCTCATCTGCCTCTATAACCACAGAAAGCAGCTTCGGAGCATCGACCGGCAGCACAGGATCCCGCCCGGACAGTAAGTGGTATGGGGATAGGTTTCTCAGAGCCGCCTGCTTTGCGAACCTGTACCCCGCCAGCACCCACCAGAGATCTCGGTCCCAACTCCTTTTGTGGGACTCACTGTAGGCCCGTAGTCCTTTCTTCAAGGTCTGTATGAGCCTCTCGGTCAGTCCATCTGATTGAGGATGGTACCTAGAGGTGACCCTGTGCGTGATACCCATCTCTTCCAGAAGCTCGTCGAAGCTCCCTTGAAATTCCGTCCCTTGATCAGTGAGTACCTCCCCGCATGCCCCATACCTGGTGAGCACCAGCTCCTCAAAAGCGTCAGCTATCAGTGCGCTGTTCTTGCTTGGTAACGCTCGCGCCTCCACCCATTTACTCGTGTGCTCAACCATCACCAGAATGAACTGCTTCCCTCCTTTCGATAGTGGCAGCTCTCCCGCGAGGTCCAACGACCACCTGTAGCCCAAACCGCGAATTGGTAAAGAATGCAGCTCATCTCTCTCTTTCTCCAGCCTTGCTTTATTCCTCTGACATGCCTCGCAACTCGCCACTAATCCTGCCACATCCTTTCCCATGCTCACCCACCAGTACATGGTGCTCAGCAGCTGCCGTGTTCTGGTTATGCCGAAGTGCCCCAGCTTCGCGTGCACATTCCCCATAATCTTGGCTCTCTCCTGTGGTTGTGGCACCACCTTCCACCCTTCGTTGGTTCTCAGCTGCAGCTGTTCCTGAAACCACCTGAAATGCTGCCCTCAGGCCCTGGCTCTCTCGCTAACTCCTTCCTCTTCTAGTGGCTCCCCTTTGATCCAGCTCAAGGTCTCCTCATCCTCCCATATATCCCCTAGCCGCTTCTTTCCTTTCTCCTGCCCCCAGGGTATCGCTGCTACTTGAGCCAGGGCTGCCAGCTGCGCTACCGGCTGCATTGGTGGCGGATTCCTTGATAACCCATCTGCGTGCTGCAGCGTTTTCCCAGGCCGGTGTCGGATCTCAAAGTCGATTCCCGGCAGCTTAATGGCCTGGTGATCAGTCACAAGTGTGAAGCGCGACCCTGCAGGTACACCTTGAAGTGAGTGATCCCCCATACAGCTGTCAGACCCTCCCCCTCATAAGAGCAGTAGTTAGCCTCGGATGGGCTGCAGCTGCGGCTGGCGAAGGCTACCACTCTCTCCTCTCCTTCTATCTCTTGGCAGAGCACTGCCCCCATTCCTGTGCTGCTCCGGTCGGTGTATAAGATGAAAGGGGCATCTGCCCTCGGTATCTGCAGCAGCGTTCCCGTTCGTACTGCTTCTAACAGGTCCTACCTTGCCGTTTCCTCCAGCTCTCCACAGTGCCAGCTCCTCCCTTCCTTCAGCAGCTGATTCAGTATGTAGGCTCGGCGGCTTAAGTTCGGTACGAACTTCCTGTAATAATTCAGGAAGCCGAGTAACGCCAGCAGCCCAGTCTTATCCTTTGGTGCTGCCAGGTTCTCCAGCACCTTAACTTTTGCTTCCTGTATCGCCAGCCAGCCCCCTTTCACTTCAAAGCCCAGGTAAGCCACGGTCTGCCTTGCTATCTTGCACTTGTCTGGATGGCACGTCAGACCCGCAGCTGCTATAGCCTCTAGCGTCTACTTCAGATCTTGCACGTGCTGCTCTTCACTGCTGCTGAAAATCAGTATATCATCTATGTAGCATGCTGTTGCTGGAATCCCCTTCAGCACCTGATCCATGGCCCACTGGAACACTGCAGGGGCGTTGCGTATCCCGAAGGGCATCACATTGTACTCATACAGCCCATCCACCCCGTGGAACGCCGTTTTCCGTTTGTCTTCCTCCCTGATGGCTATCTGGTTGAACCCCTGTCGCAGGTCCAAGGTGGTGAAGATGATGGCGCCTTCTAAGCGATCAAAGATGTCTTCTGCTGTTGGCATGGGGTACCTGTCCGGGCTGGTGATCTTGTTCAGCTCCCGAAAATCTCCACACATCCTTTTCGCCAGCACTTTACCCGTGATATCCTTCCTAGCAGCTACCACTGTGGCTGCTGCGTAGCTTGACTCGGACGGGCGGATAATCCCTGCTGCTAGCAGCTCCTCACACTCCTCCTTGCAGATAGCCGCATCCTCTGCATTCATTCTCCTTCTTCGTTGGTAAGTGGGTATATATGTGGCAAGGTTTAGCTCCAGCTCTCTTCCCTTGTACCTCCCCAATTCCTGCAGGTTATAGGCGAAAGTGCTCCTGTGCTGGTGCAGCACCTCTCTGATTGCTTCTGCCATCTGCTCCTTGATGTCCGTACCTAGCTTCCATTCCTTACCTTGCTCAGCTTCTTTGCCCCCTGCTAGTGCCGCAACATTCTCCTTTCCTCCCGTGCCCTGCTCAACAGCTGCATACGCCGCCTGCTTCTCTCCTTGTCCTTGCCTTTTTTCGATCTCTCCTCTTTATCAGCTGCCCCCTTCCTCTTCTCTTTGATTAACCATCTCAGCGAATGCTGGTCTATGGCTCTTCCTAAAGCTGCTCTGCGCATCCCTTCCTCTACCCCTTCTGCTGCGGTTGCTCCTGGCAGGTATCCCATGGCTAACTCCCGCTCCAAAGCCGTCGGTTCCTCCCACTTCTTCTTTCGGTGATCGTACACCATCCCTGGTCCTGGTATTCCGTCCACCTCGATGAAACCTTGTGCCCTGGTGTATGCCACTAATGTAGGCCATGCCCTGCGAGCTTCCCCCACCCGGTTGCACTGGTACTGCCGCGGATGATCTGGTTTTACCACTGGGGCCGCCACCCTCCCTGGTTCTAAAATATCCTCTACTATCCTGCTTTCGTTTCTCTCCACTCTCGCTAGTCTTGCCCTCAGTTCCCCATCTGGTAAGACGTTTTGCCAGTACTGCCGCACCCTATAACAGCGTGCCCCCAACTGTGCCCCATCACAGCTCACTCCTCTCCCCAGTTCTGCCTCCACCAGCTCCCTTACTGCCCTGACCGGCTCGCGTACTTCATTCCTCATATCCACATGCTCCAGGATGTAAGCATATTCTCCATTCACTTCACTCGTCCACTTCATTATGGTGAGTAGCTTGGTCACCATCCCCGTGCGCTAGTCCTGTAAGCCTTTCCCCTTTCCGGCCCTAGAAGTACCCTGACACTCCCATCCCGCCACTAACAAATCCACTTTACCCCAGCTGCTCACGTCTTCTTTCGTGAGCTGCCCCACGTCCCATTTCTTGTTCTGCATAGCCTCCCGTAGTACTTCTTTCGTCAATTGCGCGGGGTACTGCTGCTGTAACATTTGAGCATGCTTCCATGCCATTCTCCTTACCTCTGGGTCCAATTCTACGTAGACCCACTTCTTCACCCTCAGGCCTGCTTCCAAGGCTGCTGCCAAGCCCGCTCCTATTCCCCCGAACAACTCCACTAGTGTAATGCTATACTGATCCACGTGAGCGCTGCCGTTGCTCTTCCCCACACTTCCTCCCCTCCTACTGTTCTTCCTCAGTCCTTCTGCTCTCCACGTTTTCTTGGGTTCTTTCTTAACAAACCGTACTGGTAGTTCACTCAGCTCCTTCCCTTCCTCCCAACAATCCGAACAGTAGAGCACCTGCTCCTGCCAGGTACAGATAGTGGTGCTTATCTTGAACAGCAGCTCCATTCCTAGTAGGATATCATAGTCTTCTGATTCTGTCAACCCACACTGCACTCTGATAGTGGTCTCCCCCTTCTCTACCGGCTGTAAGGTTATCTCTATCAGGTCCCGTGTGCATGGCATCCACTTAGGGGCCCCTCTTTCTGCTGTCATGATCAATATGCCCTTGCTTACAGTCTCTAGGTTCCCTTGCGCTCGCAGTTGTGCCGTCAGCTTCTTCCCGATTAGGACGCTCTGTGCTCCTGTATCCACTACCGCGTTTTCTACCAAGATTCCTCTGACCGCCACGGCTTTCGGTTCCACCACTAAGGCTGTGGGCTGACAGACTAGCCTTTCCTCGGGGTGACGCCGTGCGGTGCTGACTTTCCCTTGATTCTCCTGCCGCCTGGAAATTCTTCGCTCTTGTAATTTCTGCTCCGCTCTGCC